AGCACAACGAGAAAGTATAATAGTCTAAAGAAAATCAGGGATTAAAATATTAGAGTTAAAAAACAGTACGCCAGAAATCAATACTACTTTAAAAAACTATATAAAATATAATTTAAATATATTGTGGGGAAATTGATAACAATTTTTACTTTCAAACGATTATTTTATGATTTTGGTATAATGGCACATATATTAAGTATGAAAAGAAATTTCTTTATGTGTGGCGACTAAAACAACTTATTTTCATAGCGTGGGGGAGATAGCCGGGAGCTTAAGCCAAGTAACTAGCGAGCTTCAAGGCAATTACTAAAAAAATAGATACAACTACCATACACACACACAGGCGGAGAGAGCGACTAACACACACACACACACACACAACCGGCGAGCGCACACATATAAAATGTTCAAATCATCAAACAATAAACTCAAAATGGACTCCATCGCTTGTCGCACGTTTCATGCTCATTTTCATGTCGAGCGCGTTAAAAACATGGGGCTTCCCCAACTTCCCCTTTGCTATCCCTTTCCCGCTCGCTCTTCCCGTCCTTGTCGCACTCTTTGTGGAACGGAACGAAAATGGAACACTGGCCATCTTGCGCATGACGTGATGCTGTTGCGTTTCTGGGGGCGTGGCTTTTTCTTCCCATCATTCCACTCAAAGACCTCTTTCCACTCACACTCATTTCCAGTCGCTCTGTGGTGAAGATAATGAGCTCCGATTCTTTGAGCCCGGTTTATACTGACTGCCCCAACTTGATTACATTTTGACCTTCTCGTCCCGCTTTGTTTTCTCCCTTTTTTGTTTTCTGTTTTTTATTTCTTTGCCTTGTTCGTTTGTTTTCTTCAATGTTGCGACGTGTTTGTTGCATATTTGATAGGCTACTGTACCGTGCGACCCTCGGTGCCAGCTCATTAACAGTCTCCCATGATTCTGCTTCGGGTTTTTAATTAAAAAATGTTGGGGGTTCCTTTTTTGGTTTGGATACCTTTTTAAGGGAAGGGGGTTGTAGAAGTTGGTATTAGCTTAGGGGTAAATTTAGAATGTGAGGTGGTTAAAAAAGCTGCACAAGTTAGTTGTGGTCCTCGTACTACAATTACTTCACTGTAATTAATTTCCAAAGAAAAAATCTGTTATGAATTTAAATTAACAATAAAAAAACTACATATATACTGATGTAAGTTCAATAGCAACTTGATGACATTCAACACAATAAGACCGATCTTTAACAATTTAAATTTTTAATACACGACCTTGAGCTTCCAACAACTGTAAAGTATGGCTATTATTTAAAGGACTAAAACTAATAAAACAGCCTTAATCGAATTTATACATAAATATTTGTGCATATAAAAATCGAGACTGCAATCAATTTTTCAACAGCGATTTCTTTATTCAAGTTTAATGGACTTATGATAATTTGAATATAGCTTTATACTTATATAATTTATATATAGCATAGTGCTTGAAATAACGTTTATATTCTTAAAGATCTTGAGTCTTGTGCAAACTCACCTTTCCCAACTTAAAAACTGTTCTAAGCTTATCCATCTTTTAATTCACCCTCATCCCTTTTCTCCGGCCGTATCCCTATTTATATAAATGGATTGCCCCTACAATGATCATTAAAAACGCATACTCTGACATTGTTTTGCTATAAACATAAACAATAATTCAATTCGCTCTGGCGGCAGCAACAACAAGGACGACACAGGGATAAGGACAAAAACAAAGCGAAAAACACGGCATAATCAATGTCGATGTCTGCCTACAAGGACTTCCACACAGAAACACCCACTCGTGGATACGGATACAAATACGGCCACATCGTACATTACCCACTCGGAGATAGAGAGACATACCCCGGAAAATAGACAGGATATAGGGGGAGCAGAAGGAATAGCGCTCGTATATCAGCATTGGAATCCACCCGGCAAAACCCCAGCAACGAAAACAATTTGGTAAGTTTTCGAAAATTTGGCAAGTGCGAGCGAGACGGAGCACTTCTAATCCGGCGCGCAGGACCAAATAATCGCCTCCTCTCGCTTTCACTCCCACCAGTTCCATGGCTATATGGCTCTGGTTTTCGGTGGAGTCCATGTACAAAGCTTAGAAATAGACAGACAATAAAAGCTTCATGAAGCGACATTGCCGACGCCATCATTTCAGTGGAGTGTGCAAGCGAGAGGGCACGATTGGTTGGAATGTGGGTGCGACAGAGACCGAGCAGTCCATGAAGTTTCTGTTGATTTTTATCATTTATCGATTTCGAATTTGTGTCGAGGGACAATTTAGTGGCCCCATGTCCCGTTCCCAATGTGTCTATGTTTTGTTGGCCATTCTCTCCACTCCACGGACATTCATGAGGTGTCGTCCCGAAATCCAAAAGGGGTGAAACGCTGGGGGGAGGACATTTTGATGGCCGACTCCAAAACTCCGGCCTGTCATTGTCAGGCTAAAACTGCTGCCGACTGCTGGGGAGTACATTTCTGGCCAGCAATCCTGCCGAGGTCCCCTTGTTCTCGTGCTATTTATGGCCAGCACACATACTCGAATACCAGCTCGTCCTCGTAATTCTCCCGGCACTCTCTTTTCGAGTGGGCGGGGCTCCGACTCCCTATTCTATCGATTTTCGGGGAGTGCTCCTTAAAGGGTGCCGTTCAACTTTGTTGAAGGTTGTACGAAACTTCAAGGAGACGTTGCTGTTATTACTTGAGATTGTTTTCCAAAGGGAACATTGTTCCCTTTTATAATAATAAAAACTTTATTTGTAAAAAACCAAGTTACTTGTAAAATAAAAAATGTATTTTCTGATAAGTTAGCCATCGTAGGTATTCATATTTCGTAGATTATGTATTTCACTTCCATATATTGTAGTTACACTCACCATGGAATAACGACAACAAAGTAACAATCCACTTAAGTCGCACTAAAACCTGAACCAGATCAACATTTAAGCCGTTTAAGTGTATGATTTTTAAGATCTCTAATCTTATGCAATACCAATACTGCTTAGCATTCTCCTGGTGGCCGAAAACAATAAGGCAATTAATCAAATTATATATTTGACATGCCGGGAACACAAACAAACCGAATTGGCAAGCCCCGTTTCGAAGTCAGTTTGCAATATTTCAGCGAGCAGATTAACAGGCCTGAGGTCCTAAGACAAATTGTCCACCAGGGACACGTTTGCACACAGGAACAGTTTATTGTTTGCTTTTTTTTTTTGCCAAAATTCTATTAACCTCAGCGTCAATAAGCGGCTTAGATGGGATTTACCTGAAACCGATCCGATCCGAAACCCAGAGAGAACCAAAAAGGAGCACGTTCGGTTTTCTGTGGAGAACGCCTGCGCAGCTGGCGAAAAAGTAAACCTCATTCGAAATGGCAAATTCAAAGGCAATTCACACTCGTTCGTCAATTGCCAGAAATTGACTTTGGGCGCGTACTTGGACAAAGGTGAAAATACTGGAGAAAATATCTCCGGAACTGTGCGGAAGTTCATCCGATTGCCTTTTATGTGATGGAAAACGTGCCAAGTTCAATGGATTCGATGAGTTGGCAGATCTCATAGAGTATATATAGTTTACCGGCCATTCTTTAAGTATTTGATGTACGATCCTAAGACTCCTCCATGAATATCACGTAATACGGCGGCTGTTTGCTGTGCTGTGCCGCTAATGGCTCGTCTAGGTAATTATCGCCGGTATGCTAATGGCGTTTTGAACGCTCAGCGGACCCGCCTCCCCCAAAAAGAGTTACCGATTCCGATATTGTTTGCCATTGCACTCGCTGTTAAAGCATGATTAATGTGGGTGCCCCATTAGACGCGAGTCAACAATGGCAGTTCGGTAGTTGCAACAGTCAGTGCCCGGAGTCATTAGCCAGTCGAAGTTCAATGAGTCCGCGGATAATGTCTAGATGGGCCATGATTTCGATTCATGAGAGTCGTTTGTGGAGGAGTGAAGTCTCTTTTTAGTCTCTGGGAAAAGACTCTCCTTTGTAATCGGGGATTGAGTCAAAAAACGTTGAGCTTTTCAAGAAATCAGGGAATTTTAAATAACCTTTTTTGAATTGATAAACCGTAAGTACAATATTGATATATCTAAAAATAAATGAAATGAATCAATTATAAGTTTAGTTTAGATTTAGAGCCTTACAGGCTTTAGAGCTTTAAAAAGAAATTATTACATGAAAATGATTTCCCTTTTTGAAATTATATACCTTTTTAATTCTCCCTCATATTTTTCCAATTACATTTTCCACTCATTACTCACGCTTCCATCTCCAGTTTCCATTATTCAACTATCTACTTGTTGCATTCAGACTCTTGCCCCATTCATACCACCTTGGAGGGCATTCATAATTTAATGATATTTATTGTTATTGGCCAAAACCCCCGACTTCATCTCGCTGCAACCTGCTTTTCGACTCCATTCATGGCCTGTCCAATGTTTTCTACTCATATGCTCGCCTGATTGACAGTTAATCAATCTTTCGGTTTTAGTTTGATTCTTTTCACACATTCCCTTATTCTTGGGTGACGTTTTCGCCCTCTCCTTTCGGCCAACCATTCATTTGTCCGCACCTTGTTGGCCAGAAATACTTTCGAGTTAATCCTTTTGACTTTGTCCGCTTGACGGATTGTCGTTTGACTGACTGACTGACTGACCGGATTGACTGCAGGCGAGGATTGTCTAAAGCAGATTTCCGGTCTGTAATTGTTATGAGTTTTAAGCCATGGGAATCACTGCTTAATTCCCTTGTAGGTGTTGGCTGATCGGATTTGGTCGTATAGTTCTCAGAGAATTCTTGTACTCTCTCCGATTTAAAGAATTTAGTTATTATATAGGTATAAACCAGCTCTGCACTTTTCGTTTTACAGGTATAATCAATTATTTTATTTCCATTTTTCCTCACATAAAATAAGTAAAAAATGTAGTTTTTATATTTTCCTTGCAATTTATTTTTTATCAATTTGAAATAATTAAAATTACAATTTAATTTAAATACATTTTACATATAATTTACCGCAATAGTTAATCATCATGTGTTGCGTCTGTATCATCATCAATATTGTGAATATTGTTGCGCAATCTCAGTTAGCATAGTTAATCGTTAATATTTTATATATATATTTTAATTTGTATGAACTAAGGTCGGTTCTAATGCACGAAATTACATTAAAGTTAGGGATTAGAAACTAAACATACAGTATGTAATAAATTCAGTTTAATTTTTGTGCCAGTGCCTCAACTCCTTTCGACCTTCCTACCAATTAGCGACGTTAATTAAGCTTCATGTTAAATGTATTTTTAGAAAATTAACATAAATATTTACACACCTAATGAACAGAGTTGGGAATTAAGTCAGAGAGTTAGACGGGAAAAATGAAGTCTTCAGAAGACGGTAAAGTGGCAAAACCTTAAAACTTGAACCCAAATCATTTAGCTGAAATCGTTTCTAGCTGCGGCTGCATTTTCTTTTTTTTTGTGTAGCTGCTTATGCTGGGCTTTCTAGCTAATTAGCTGGCGCATTGAAATTTATCCTAAGTGTATTCCATTCCATTTCATTGCGAGTCCATGTCCTTGCATAGTTTGTAAATTCGTTTTAATGACGATAATTATCCTGCTGCTGTTGCGAGGACCCGGAGCTGTTGCTGCGACATCTTTTGTTCTGCGCGGGGGACTCGCCCATATCGAGACTTTCGTTATCGCTGTCCATGGTCTCGCTGCAATCGCCATCGTTATCGCCACCAATGTCGTCCTGTTTCCTTTTGGCCGTGGCCATTTCCGCCGCATGTCGCTTGCGCCATTTGGTGCGACGATTCTGGAACCAGACCTGCAAATAACCCAAAAGAAATACACTTTAGTGCCGGCTCTCAAGTTTTAAATCGAAAGTTCCCGCTGCATGTGTAATTAGGCGAGTCACATTGTCAAAGTCATTAAGTTGTCCGAAGGGACGGAGCGGCAGAAAAGGCCCAGCAACAGCCCATAAGTCGCATCATCAACGCCGGTTAACCCTCAATTAAGACAATATTAAGCCCTGGCCAGCCAAATGGCGAAATGTTGCTACCCGGCAGCAACAGCAACAGCAGCAGCAGCAGCAGCAACAGCACGGGAGCAACATCAACGGAATGGAAGCAACAACAATAGCAACTGTTTCAGCGGCAAAAACTATGCACAAAACCATGACTAACGTCTTTGGCTGCGCTTCATTTTGCCGGCCTCGTTTGGCTCGCTCTGTGGCAACATATGTTGGCCAAAGACCTCCTCGCGACCCACTCCACCACCGCCCATGGCTGTTTTAAAAGGGGGATTCACCACCCGAGTCCCAGGCACGTTTTTCAGCTTCCCATGGCAATGGGTTGCCTCAAAATCGGCATAATTTCTACATTTGCCTGATGATGGAGCAGATTTTTGGTAGCTCTCTGCAGTTAGAATCATTAACAAAGCGTATAAATGGGCACTTGATGTTGAGATTCTGTTTCGAAAGATATTTCGAAAGAGATTTTCAAAACGGGATAGACATCAATTTAAGGAAAGTTTTAAGCTGTAGAAAAAACTATATTCTTATTACATATTGATGTATTATTTATTCCAAATTTTTATATTTCTAAATAAAATTTATTACAACTGAACTATTTTTGGTGTTTAAGATAAAATAGCAAACTAAGATTGATTTTATAATTTCAATTAATTTATAATGGTTTGTGTTATATCCCTGATATTCCATTACATTTTTGGGAACTTGAAAACCTACTCCGTTTATTTCCCTTACTTCCTATCGAGAGATCAACTTAATTACCTATCCCAGACTGTCATAACCATTTCTGTTAAACATTTTCCCCACACCCACGACAAAATCAACGCTGGCCCAACAACCCAAAGGTGCAATTAAACCAGATACAGCATAATTTACAACTTCATTTGCACATTTGTGTAATTATTATTTGCAACATTATGCGAAATAAAAACACAATTAATATTTTCCGTGTGTTACAAGCCGCAGTGGAGAGCACAGAGACAGACATTCACAGTCTTGGCTTTCGGAAAAACAACAGACAGCCAACGGCAGAAGCAACAACAACAACATTAGTTGGCATCATTAAGGCTGCTTTTCATGGTCATTATTTTTTGGTAACATCTGTGTCCATGTTGTTACGGGATTTGCCACTGAGCCATGGGCAAAAAGGAAAATTGAGCTTGGGGCAAGTGACTGGCTTCCCGGAATTTTCCTTTCTCCCATCCTCGATTTTCCACTTCTCCTTTTCCCATTTTGTCGTCATCATAACGATGGGGTATGCGTCATCTAGCACCCACTAAAGCATTGTTGATGTTGCAATGACAGCAGATTGCTGACTCTTAAAGGAATATTCAAGGTTTGAATAGTCGAAATACATTTGAGTTGAACTACATTGTATACTTAATTTTAGCAGATATTGAATAGTAAATATTTGTAATATTTTTTCCTTATCTTAATCATGTTAAGATTATTTCTTTACTGTTCTTGAAAACTTGTTTTATTTAGGATGTGTAGTTTCCTTTCCTTTTATTTCGATTCCCTGGACACACTTTAATCTTTTAGTGAAAATTCACAACTCTTTGCAACACTTTTATGACCACAATATCGAACATTAGCTGAGAACTTAGAAGCCGCCTTGACGAGCACAGACAGATAGCCAAATGGCTGATGGCAGAGAAGATGGTCAAGGGAGCCGAAGAATTTATGACAGCCAACATGTCAAAGTCAATCAAATATTGTGGCAATCAATTTGACTTGGTCACGTTACGCTTCGATTTCGAATTGGGATTTATTTATTGCAGCAGGAGCATCGGCAGCAGCACCTTGGAAAAGGAAACAACAAAAACCATGCACAACCCTCAAAACAAACCGAAAAAACGTTATAAAACATATTCCATTTTGGCACCGCAGCGGGAGTCCTTGTTTCCTGGGCCATCAGTCAGGTGGGCCCTCAGATAAGGATAAAAAGTGTTATGTAAATTTCGTAGGAACGGACGGGATGTCAAAACCGAAAACCTTCAGTGTGTGGTGCCCTCAAAGCGAAATATATGACTCTTTGGGCAAATTGGAAATTTATTTGTTTACGCGTCCTGTGCGGGGGATACTTAAAAGTCATGAAAATTTACAACATGGCTGTGCACACATCGATACTGGCCAATACTGTTGCCCTTTTGGTAACATCGACATCTGACAAGTTGGCTCCTACCTCGCTTACCTTTTTATTTTCTCCTATTGGTCGAGGGAATTTTTTATTTATTTATTTTAGCCAGCGAGTATGTGTGTGTTTTGAAGTTCTGGCTCGTAAATTTCCGAATCTGTATAGCTGGCTCGCCCTCGCTCTTTATATGGGATCGCTTTCCGTATTTATGTGAGTTTGTGATTTATTTGATTTTGTATTTCGTAGCCATAAACTTGAAGCCAACCGAGGGTTTGAGTCATAAAAATGCATTTGGTTTTTTGGGTTTTTTTCTTGCTGGTATTTCACTAATTGTCCATCAGCCCTAGAAATCGTCTTCAGCGCTTATGTAAATTCCTGGTCAAACCCATTCATTAACACACAATCAAATCCATTAGTCGCTCACAATAGAATTCTTCCTCATCACCGAAAAAAAATCAATTAGACATTATTCCCCATTTCTGTCATAAGTTTTTATGAACCAGTCCCATTGTCAGCTGGTTGGCCTGTCAGTTTTCGTCAGTTGGCCATTGTCATTGCCAAACTGTCACTTCTGACAGTCGCCTCGAATTGGATTTGGTCTATAAGCTTTCATTATTCGGATGCTAATTATGTGGCCCGATCTTTGTCTCATCAAAGTAACAGATCATAAAAAGACATTTTAGCCATAATAAAATATTGTTTTCATCTACTGCCAATGGCACTTAGGTAAAATTCCAGAATTGTGTTTTTATGGTACCTGAATATTAAATCATTCTCAATATAGGTGTGCTAAAAGCTTTGTATAGATTTAAAGTGTTTATTTGACAAAGTTTTTAATTTCTTTATAATTTTTTTAAGAGGGTAATTTAGTTCTTAAAATCTTTTTTATCTCTTTAGCTACACACAAAAGGTTTTAACAATCATATAATACTATTCCAGTTTGAGAACATATATAATTGTGTAAATTTAATTTTCAAAATATCTCACTCTGTTAATAATGTTAAAATAGAATTAATCAAATCAAAATTTGTCATACTAAATTACCCCACAATTGCTCAACCCCATTTAATTTATTCCCCAAATTATCTTTTGCTTTAAGCCAATTACATCAAATGGCAGCTCCTCCTTTGCGTGTTTATCGTGCTCTCTGCCATTATTTCTATCCACCTACTATTTGCAAAACAATCCCAAGCAAAGTGTTTACATACATTGACTGAACAATCAGGACCCGAAATGCCATTACATTTATGCAAAACAACAGAGAAGAGCGGGCAAAAATCACGAAAAAGCTATAACAACAAAACATGCAATAATTTTATTGCCCGGAGTGGACCTCCTAACTATGACCCCACACATGGACTGTCATTAATAATGGCCACAGACGCTATAATTCACCGCGAGGGGGAAAAAGGGGGCAGAGGGGGCGTGGCAGCGGAGGTCTCCCACTCATAAGAGCGTACAAAATGGCGACCATTTGCATTAAATGATTGCTAAAACGAAGGACGAAAGGAGTTTCCGTCCCTCTTTCGCCGTCTGTGTCCAAAAACGGTTTTAATTATGATAACAGCGCAATTATTCTTGTCAAGATCATTTGACCAACCACCCACTTTCATACACATGCACTGTGAGAAAATGCTTGAGATTCTATTTATAAAATATCTTTGATTCTTAGATACAAAATTTCTCAGTTAGTTACACCAAGAAAATAATTTAATTTTTTTAAATGCCAATTTATTGACTTAATCTTTTGCACTTATAGGTACATTTAATTGAGGAGAATTCTAGTTTAGTTCTATAATTATTTTATATTTAGTTTTCAACTAAAAAAGAAATAAATTCATTTAATTTAAAAAAAAAATTTCACCTATTTAGTTTTAGACCTTCTTTTTAGAACCCTTTGATTTTGAACAGTGTACGGACCACTTTGCATTTTGTCTGTCTGTCATAATTTGCTTGGTTTTTGGGGGCGGCTGTTGTCCAGTTGCAGGCTTTTTGTTTGTCAATTTGCATACTATCATCGTCATGGCTGTTTTTCATCTGGCTCTGGCTAAAATACACACACACACCCCCGCACACACACACTGGCACACATGCACGCACACTAATTGAATATGTATGAAGCTGGCAGGATGCCCATGGATGTCGTTGTCGTTGTCGTCCCTTCTGCATTTCGTGCCATCCCGGGTCCAGAATTTAATTTACACTCACCCAAAAGTCATGCAGTCATTTGGCATGTCTATCAGAGAGACGAGTTGAGACAGCGAGGAGAAAGCTGGGGGGGAAATGTGGGGGAAATTCGGGAGCCGGATTCAACCCGAAATCCTGCAGTTTCCATTCATCTCCCTGTCCATTTGTACTCGTCATCAGCGCATTCCCATGCCCTCCACTGCCCCTTCGTCCTGTTTAGTCCTTAGCACAAAATGACGCATATTTAGCTGCAGCTCAGCCATCAATCCTGAATGTTCATCTATCTATCTCTATCTCTGTTCTCCCTCGCTCTCTCTCTATCTCTGTCTCTGTCTGCCCTGTGCCTCATTCTTTGGCAATTAATCATTTTTCCTCATCATAAACGTGATTTCTTTTCCACTCCTGATTGTGCTCAGTTGTGTGGCGAGAAAAGGTTTTCCCTTTGGGTGGAGAAATGGGTGGAAGGGGTTTTTCAGAGGGATTCTGTCGCCTAAATGAGGCAATCATGTCCTTCTAATCACGATATCCGATGGGGAATATCTAGCTACAGAGTAATTGTTTGGTAGATGGAGAGTTATTTAAGTTACATTTTTGAAAAGCACTAAACGTATTTGCCATAAAAATGATTGCTTAAAAACGTCTTTTAAATTATACTAAAATATATTAAAGTATTTTTATTTCAAGAAATGACTTCAACATTTTGATTTAAAATGATTGTGAAACCCCTTAAGTAAAAAATTTTGAAATGTTTCCCTGTAACTCTTTCCTCACTAACCAAATTAAACACGCCGCAAGCCAATTAACTTCTCCCGGCTTACAACTAATTCAAGAATTACAAGGAACTGAACTTGGATACACATCCGCGTCGAAGGATTCCAAATCCCGGGCGACACACGCGGCAAAACCACGGACCATCGACCATGACACGTGCGTTTTCCCGGTTCGGATTACAGCGAAAGTTGATGACAACAAATTTGACGACACAAAGGATTTATTTGTTGATAACATTTCCTTCTTTTTGTGTGCGAGTGGGAAAAAAGGAACTTTAAAATGGTGTTTCATGGGCGGTTCAAGGGAGGAAAACACATTGCACTAAGCCTTTAGGACGAGGTCCTTGGGGAATGGGGACCATTGAGACCCATTGGCGCCATTTTGTGTTTCGGGGTAAGGCCGAAAAATCCACGAGATTTGCCTTTCAATAAAAATGCAAATTTGTCAGAAAAGTCAGGGCCAAAACAAGCGGAGTTCTGCTTACTCCTGTCTACCTTTTTGCGAAGTAAGTATCTTTTTTTTTGGTTTGGGTTTCGGGTTGATTGCCTCATCCGCCATTTTTATGGGTTTTTAATTTGCATTTGCCAAAGGCTTGAGTCCCGGTTTTTGGAGGGTTGTTGTTTTGAGTTCATATTTGCTTACCTTAACCTGCGACTCGGACATTCCCAAGGCATACGCCAACTTGGCTCGCTCTGGTCCTGCCAGATATTTGGTTTGCTCGAATGTCTTCTCCAGGGCGAAGATCTGCTGACCACTGAATGTTGGGCGGGTGTGTTTCTTCTTGCCATCCTTGTCGTTCGAGGGGTGATGCTGATGCGATTGAGATAGATTGGCGGACACTGAAATGGAAATAATAAATTATAGTAATTTTAAAATGATTTTTTATTTTAATTTAAATATAAATAAAATAATATAAATAACCCGATCTCACATCAAAATGGAAATTGATTTCCTAACATGTATAACAACAATTAGTTGTACTTAAATTCTTTTCATAACCAATTTAGTTTCGGTCACGAAAATTGTATACTAAAACAGTTTTCCTTTGCCTTATATATTTATACAGCATTAAAACTTTTCGAATTTTGTCAATTTGAACACTTTGAGTACCTTGTTTACAAGCATTTCTCAAAAATTATACTTTCGTCCCCCTTAAAATTATTTTAATGAATTGTTAAATAATGTCGCCGTAAGGATGTGGACAAAGTTGCTTATAGCGCATTGTGGGGTGGTTGGAAAACGGTTTCCTAGTTGCGGCGGAAAACTTTTATGACATTTATTAATTGTTTACGAGGCGACAGCTGCTAATTTGAGAAGAAACTTTTGGGTCACAGGCACTTTAAAAGGTGTTTAGGGGTTGTCAACTAAAATTAGATGATTTTAGAGAACTTTTAAAATAAATATAATAATTATATACAACAGTTTTAGTATTTAGAATTGCAAAATATTTAATATTTTATCCTAACTATCAGAAAATAAAGAAACGGTTTTCAAAAAATTTTGTTCATGACTAATATTATTTCAGTACCGAATAATAATTGCACACTAATTACAATTTGGCTACAACATTAATGTAAGAAATGTCCGACTGAAAAAATCGCTATACACACGTTTGCCCAATTAACAAACCGAAATTGACCACAGCAATTTATGGTGCAAGGAGGAGGAAAACTTTTCCGTCGAGGGTCGTCGGAGCCTTCATTAAAATCAATTAGCAAAAGCGACGACGACGACAGCCAGAGGCCAATAAAAGCGAGCCAAGTGGTCCAAAAACAGACCGCCCATCCGCTAGCCACGCCCCCACTCCAAAAGGGGCGTTGTCACGGTCGTGGGCGGGGGGCATGGTGGGATTGACAGGGGGCTACGTGCCCTGTTGGCTCGTAAAGTCAGTCAAGTGGACACAGAGGGTGGTCATAAAATTAAACGGTAGCTGTGGGATTGGGAAAAAGGAGCGGGTGGCGGTGGTGGTTTTGGTGGTGGGTTGTGTGTGTGTGTGTGCTTTCAATTAATGTCACCCCATTATTAAATGATCCCTAATTATGTGAAATGATTTAACTAAATATGCACAACGCAGAACCCAAAAGGGGACAGCGGTTGGAATGGGAAATGAGGTTTGGCAAAAGGTAAAGCCACAGACAGCCGTTGTCCTCGCAAAAGGGTGGTACATTCCAACTCCTTTTTTCATCCTGCATTGGCCTGAAACTTTGTGTCCCTTTATGATACTTTGGTGCCATTTGCGCAGAATTATTAATTTAAATTGTTATTTCTAACAGCTTTCATATAGATAAGGATATTTTTTATTTGGGTTGAATCCTGCACGATGATATAAAAGTATATAAATGAGAGGATGTGAGTTTCGGTGAGGGAAGGGATTCTAATTAAACGGCATGCGTTAAAGTTATCAAAGAATTAAATCTAAAATAAAAATGTTGAATACTGTGAGTAGGGGAAAAAGGGATTTCCTATGGAGTTTTAAAGAAAAATCACATTTATTTAACCAAATTTAAAAAGGAGTTTAATGTTAAAAGCTTCGTTTTGTTTTTTTAGTTTATAAAAAACTCCATAAACTTGTATTTATCTTGAACAGAGTTCAATTGTCACTCTGTCCCACTTTGGATCGTTCGAATTATAAAAACAAACTGCGCTCCCGAATAAAACTGTGTGAGGCATTAAATTTATATGCTTTTGTTCTATTCTTTTTTTTGTTTTTCGCAGACAATTCTGAAGCTTAACAGGACTTGTCAATAAAGGGGGATAGGATGTTCGAGGGTAGCTCCCGCGGACTTTCGCTTTGGAGGGGGGTTCCCAAATGTAACAAGCGTAATCCCTTGCAAGAAAAATTGTAGCAGTGATAATTTTTTTACTCTCTTTCGATATAGCTATCTCGCTTGCCCCCCGTCAGCTGTCTCTTTCGCACTTCAAGGAGTGCGCGGCGGTTGGCAGCTGCGTCCTGCAAGGACCCTCATAAATAACCGACAAATATGAAGCGTTTATTTGCTCATGTCACGGCCCTCAAACGCAATGCAATGAAATGGAAATGGCATCGGGCCATTGGATCGTCCACCACCCCTGCCCCCTTTTTATGTCCCCTCAGCACGCCCCTGTGTCCTTCGTCCTGAGGCAGCGGCAGTTGTCTATAATCGCATAAGTCACCCTGTTGGCATCGCTGCATTTGCACTTTTTCCTCCCAACACTTGAATTCGATTCCTCTCCTCTATAACTTTTCTTTTTTACTTTTTCTACTGCCAATATTTTTTATGGCATTAATATTTTCGGTCATTGTTTTGGCGGGGCGGCAACCGAAGTCAAGGTGGGCGTGTGCTGTTTTCCGTAAATGTTTCCCTTATTGAAAATATTAAAATGCCATTTATTATCAGGCGTAATAAAAAAGAGGGTTTAAAGATAGAGTGAGCTTAGTGAGACAATCGTTAATACCAAATGTTGATAGACACGGGAGTAGTTTATAAGGTAAATCTGTAAATATTTTGAGTAAAGGAACCATTTCAAAAACATGTTTTGCATATGCAATTCAAATGGAAAATTACTAACTATTCAAACTGATTGTCCTTACATAAAATAATCATCTAAAAGAACTTTTTTATTTCAACTCCTCGCAATCTGAATCATTTCCGACCGCTTCTCACGTTGATATAACAATCTTGTAAAATGTTTATGCCAATCTGGTTGTTGAGCAGTAAACTCCCCGCACACCAGTTGGGGCGGATAATCCGCACCTTTTTATATACCCCAGGTGGGATGGGGATATATATGGATATATGTGGATGGGTGGGATGGTCGGTTGCCTCATTAAGTGCCACTGCGGCCATCCCTGTCTGGTCCTCGTGCCTTGTGCGGTGTTTTATGGCCTGTTTTATGCCCGATTATATGCTTAAAGCACAAGTTTTACAGGGAGCCAAGGGACGGGGGAAAAATTCCGGAGGGGATGACACAGAAAATGCCACTTGAATTTTAATTAAACGCAACAGCTAGACGGGATCGTGTTGTCTCGCTCTGCTGTCTTCATTAAGCTTAATGAATTGTGTCAAACGCAGACTGCGGTTACAGTTGCCGTCCTGCTCTGAATGTAAGATTTTTTCCCTCACGCTCCGTATTTACTTTTTATGCTAAAGTTAATTATTTCATTAGCAGAATGCGGTTACTCGCTTTATCTTAATTTGGCTTATAATGAATAAAGGGTTTAATGGAAGGTGAAGTTTTGACTTGGACTAAAATATTTCAACAGTTGGGACACGGAAAATATTTGTTGAATTCAGCATATAAATAAGTATATATTTTAAATATAAGAGCATTATTTAATGAAACATTGTATTGAGTAAAGCCTTGTGACTAATTTCTCTGACCCACTTAAACTATCTATTTATTACCATATTAATAACTTACCTACCGCATCATGCAACTGAATGATAAGCGAAATTATCCAATAAATTTCCATGCCCACTATCAACCGTTATGTAAACCAACTTAATCCCTTTCAATCATAATAAATAACATTTCGCAATGAACTTGCATAAATTGAAAGCCAATAAATTGCCATTAATGAATTGCCCGGCAAATATTGATAATAAACAATAAAAATAATCACAATGATAACAATAAACAGGTGGGGAAATGCACATCTATGCAAATACAAAAAATAAACCCGGCAATTGAAAGAAATGAAAAAATCCGGGCTTAATCAAAGAGTAAATAATGCCGCCCCAAAGCTAATCAAATGCAATTGCATTATTAATAACAAATAAAATGTGTTGAAAAAGAGGAAAACAAAAAATCGTAGCATGCCTTCCAGGGCAGGAAAACAAATTCAAATGAGGTTGTGTGTGTGTGTGTGTTTTGCGCACACGCACACACCGTCAGCAGGAAAAGCTTTCTCCCTTGTTAACATGACAGCCTACAAGCACATAAACACAAACACATACATATATTTGTTGGGATGCTCCATTTCGGGATAGAAGGAAGAAAAAACTGAATAAAGTAAAACAAACCACCCCCCGCATTTTTGCTAGATAATAATGTGGCAACATATTCTCGCAGCGTCTGTGTCTGCCTTTATCTTCCTATATACATTATATATATACACAGGCAGTCTGCTTTAACATTTTGTTTTCGGCAAACGAAAGTTTTCTCCGTCTGGGCCCACCAGCTGTCGCATCTTCTCAGCCATAAATACGTGTATACGCAGATAAATAAAAAATGGATATAAGGAATGGATCTATGTTTATGTAAATAGGGAAAATATGAGAATGTTCTACGTGGTTAAAGTTAACCAAAACAGAAATGATGTGGAAACAATGAGCCGGAGCAACTGACAATTGAAACATGTTTTTCAAATTCAATTCTATTTTATGACTTGTTGTCTGGGATTCTCAAATACATTAGTATTGATTTTTATCTGGTAAAGTGGAGTTAAAATTGAGGAGTTTACTTTAAGAATTCATTCACATTTTTTAGGGGCTGAAATAGTTAAAAACTTTATTATTTTAACCAGGTGCTTTTCGGATCAGAACTTAACCACGTATCCACTTCAAAAAACATATATTTTTTTGCTGACTTAATCCAGTCTCCTTTTCCTACCCATTCACTTGATCAGTCGCTGCTCTGTTTAGCAAATCAATTAAATCAATATTTGCTTAATGTTGCCCACAGAGCTACCAAAAGCGTGAAAATTCCTCGGCACCTAACGACACACTTCAGAAATCAAATCGAACACAAGACAAACATAAACACAGGGTCTGTGCCACAAATCTCACTCACTCTCTGCCTCTGATCGATCGCCTGAATGCAAGAAAATTGTGAACGATTTCCGACTTTTGGGCCAAGATGCTTTTCTGCAAAGTCATGGCCGCAATTAAAAGGCAAACAGCAGCCGCAGCAGCAGCAACAGCAGCAGTAGCCCAGAGCACTAAATCAAATCAATTGCCAATGCGAACCCGAAGACGATAATGACGAGCGAGAGCAAAGAGAGGGGCCTTTAAACAAATAAACAATTGTGGAGAAAAGGAAAACGAGTTTCGAGCTGGTGGCACATTACTTAATGAGCTTAGCGACGGCTATAAATAGATATAATAATGAAGTAACCAGATCAGAAATCATCTGAAATCAGAAATCGGTTGGCCAGTAAATTAATATTTCATATGTGGTGGGGTGCCATCCCATAACATCATCGCGATCATTATCGACTTTTGTGTGGAGTCATGCCGAAGTGAACCCGCTGATCGTGTCAAAGTGGTTCCTCAACACTTATTAATGAGTCGGACAATGCAACTTGCCCCCGTTGTAAGCCGCATTGGTAATCACTTGAGAAGCCCATCGCCTGATCACCGTGATCATTAGTTGGGCATTCGCTGCGCTTTGTTAGCGGTTCCCCCGATTCACCGATTTCCCCGATTCCACCGATTCCCCCGATTTATTCCAATCGGATTCGAATCCCCGCCCTTTAAACAGGAAGTGGAAATCGTAACGAGGTGTGGCGTGGCTGACAATCGAAACCAAATTACGCGCCCGATTCACCGAGCTCTGATTGCAGCGATCTCTTTGTGGATCACTTGATCAATTGCAAATTAATTATTGTTTGGATATAGTCTTTTCACTTACTCGTATTGGAGAGGCGTTCGCGCCACGCGATGGGATTGGCCACCAGTCCTTGGAGTCCTGGCCAGTACAGGTGCGTGCGGTCCACTATGTGTCCTGCGTGGGTCTTCAATGGCGCCCCCTGGCTTTGCGACAGATACTGGGCCATTCCCGCTGCTGCGGCGGCGATCGAGAAGCGGGGAATGCCAGCTGAAAATTAGCCAACGGGATAAAAAAAGTTAGTAATTAATTTAACAGAAAATTTGGGAAAACTTGTGTAGTCCTAGTATGTATTCTGAATATATAACAATTAAATTTGGATGTTATCCTATAAAATAATTATCTTTAAGTATTATAATAATACTCATCTTCAAGTTAAATATTTTTATTTACTCCGTATAACTTAAAAACAATTTTAAGTACTTTAGAATGATACTTAAAAATGTTCCAGCTTACAACAATCAAACAATCCATTTACACCTTTTGTAAATACCTTAATGATCTAACAAACTGATGTAATAAAATTCTATCTATCACAATTGCCACTATTAGCACGTAGTACTTCATGATCAGTTGAATAATCACTATCAAAATACCCTCCCCATTAACTAATCCGCTCAAAAGTTTATTTCCCCTTCATGAGATATTCGCTCAATTTGTTCTCAGCTGGCCAATTTTTCTGCCCACTCATGCCGAACTCACATACAATACGGAATTTGTTCGAATTAATTAAAGGCCATTAAATAATTTGTCATAAAAAGAATAAGCGACATTTTCGGTGACCGGAACATTTAAAGAGGAAAAAAAGTAAACGAATCAAATCACATAAACGCCCTCGTTAAAAATAATTAAAAATGTTATGGCAAATTGTCAGCACCCTGTCCGCCCCACTCCCCCCTTTCAATCCACTGTCATGTCACACAATTGGTCCACATTTAAGTGAAAAAGTCGAAAAATCAGAGGCAGCGAGGCAGAAAAACAAAAAATCATTTTAGTGAAACGACAACGTCACAGATTTTATCCCCTATACCCATATTGCCCACGTTTTTCGTGTGTCATTTTGATTTAATTACAAACAATTTGACAACTAATTGCTGCAACATTTAACGTTAAAACGCGTATCTCATTACGTTTTGTGGTAATTTTGCAATTGGATATTATAACCAATTGGGGTTTCGTTGAAAACGCTGTGCCCGATATCTAAAATTGCCCTGATTAGGTAAAGGGATCAGGGGGCGTAATGACAAAAAAGGGGGGCTGTGGGTTGGGGAGCGGCCTTTATTGAATCATATGGAATCATGCCAAACCGGATTCGTAAACAAAACAACAATTTCCGTTCGTTTTTGTTTGGTGGGTTGGCTCTTTTATTTTTCTGTTTGCTTTGCGAAACGAGTTTTTGAAGCATTTAAAATATTTCGCGTTTTTTGAGTGTGTGTGTGAGTGTGTGAGTGTTGGTGCATACATAATGTCTATTGATTTGTATTTGATATATATTTTAGCGTTGCATAATGATTTTGTGAATTGAATTGGGGTGTCGGAAAAGTAAGTTGTAGGTGCAAGTTGTTAAGAGGTCTTTAAAAGGCTTTTAAGGTAAGATTTAAAGTTGCTGCAAATTATAGAGTCCCTTTTTAAGCTTATAAAATTATTACATTTTTTATACCTTCCTAAATCAATCAAAAAAATAAATAAATGCTTTCTCGTCTACCTCTTCTTATTATTCTCATCTATTTAAATGTGAATTCTATCATCTTTAATTAAAACCAAATAAAAAGATAGTTTTTCAATTTTTTTAATTAACAGTTCGATTGTATTATGTTTATAAATCATTTCACGTTATCTGATTAAATTTAAAAAATGTATATGAAATTTTTACATTACTACTTCAACGTTGTTAAATTATTAAAAATATTTTGATTTCTATGAATATTATTATATTTTCCGATTTAGTATTTTAAACTACATTTTTCTTTTGTATTATTTTAACTGTTTGCTAATTTTATTGTTCAGTAACTCACCTCCTGTTAAAGCACTTAGGCCCGCCGAAGTGACCGGCGGCGGTTTGGAGAGGATCGTGTCGATGCCGTGCGGATTGGGGGCTCCCTGGCTGTTGGTGTTCGTGGTCGCCGTGGAGGACGACGAGGAGCTGCCACCGGATCCGCGATCGCTGATCAAATGGGAGTTCGGGCTGTGTCCGTAGGACAAACCATTGCCCGATGCGGACGAGCCACCGACTCCTTGTCCCGTCTTCATTTCCGTGGTCATCGAGTGGAGAGCCGCAAGCGGAGGACCGAGAAAACTCAGTGGCAACTTGTGATCCATGGTGTTGTTATTGTTGTGGTGTCCCGGGTTTCCCCCATGGTTGGCATTGTGCAGGGCCAGGGGATTCACGCCATGGTGGTGCTGGAACTTGGCCCGCTGGCTGGTGAGATTCTCGGGACTGTAATCATTTTGCCCCTGCGGCGGTGGACTTGCGGATTCGCTGGTCTGGCACGGATCCTCCGCTCCGCTGCTCCTCTGGCTCAAGGCATACGACTTGGCACTGTCCACACCGGGACTGGAGTTGTGTTCATATCGCGGAGATGGCGAGGAATCGGAATGGAGTCTGGAGGAGGCGGGTGGCGGTGTCGTCGAGGGCGAATCCGAATCCTTTAAACCTCCGCCATGTGCCGCCTTCAGCAACATTAGAGGACTGCTGTTATTATTGTTACTGCTATTATTGTTGTTATTATTGTTGTTGTTGTTGGCATACACCGCCGCTGCAGCCGCTGCACTGTGATAGTCTGCCAACTGTTGTTGGTAATCCGCTGCCGCCATCGCATGGGCATGAACGTCCGCGAATCCGTTGCTCATGGCCGCCGCCAAATGATGACGTTGTGCCGCCGACGGCGGACTTCCCTGTGCGGCAGCCGCGAAGCTGTGGTGTCGCATATACGGATTTATCAGATCCATCTCCGGCGTTTCGTGTCCGTACTCCAAACACTCCGGATGCTGTGGCGGTTGGCGGTAGAAGGCCGGCGGCAGGGCCAAATTGAACGCGGAATTGGCTGAAAGCTGGAAGCTCTGGGCCAACTGCTTGGCCGCCACCTTGGCGTCGGGCGGTGGGGGCGTGGGCGAGGGATTACTGCTCCCACCCGCCGGCGTAATGCTCAGGAATGGACTACCCAGCTTGGGATCGATCTACGGATAATGTTGCACTCGGAGAAGATCGAATCTTACAGATCTTTCTCAGTACTTTTTGTTTTTAGTGATCTATTGGTTAATGTAAGTTTTTGTGTTTTATTTCTTTTTTAGAGATTAGTTCCTTTCAATTTCTAATCTTACACATTTGTGCTTTGATATATCCTTCTTTATTAGGCAAATGCCTTTACAATATACTGAATTTCTGAATTGCGCTTTAAAAATCCAATTAGTCCCAAATCTTTACTCCAAATTTTGAAAATTTCCAAAAAGTTGGTTTATGAAATGTCTTTTTTTTGGGGATCAAGGTGTTGATTTTATTAATTAGAGTTCCGTGGGTTCTTCATTTGAAATGATCAGCACTAAAGGTGTTCTAAGTTAAGCTCCCAACTTAGAAGACATTATAGTTTTTATTCAATGTTTTTTTTTTATTTTTTTATTAAGATCACTGGATCTTTTTCACACACACGAAACCAATTTTGGCCGACTGCGCGAACCGAAAACTATTTTTGTTCAAATCGTTTTTTAGTTTTTAGAAAACCACACTTTGTATCCACCGATTTGAGGCGAGATCAGGTTACTGTTTTTGGTAACTCCGTGGCCGGAAAGTATCGGAGTGAATGAAGACCCGCGCGTGTCCGCTTGTTTAGGCCTACGACTAGCGAATGATTTCGAAATTGACTCGACTGGCCCTCAGTCGCACAATCTCAGTTTCAGCTTCAGTCTTTTGGGCTGGGGGTACGGCTTCAACCCTCCGTATTCCGGATTCCACTCGCAGCATCACCTCTTGCGGGTGCGAGCGAGAGGGCTGGATATGGTCGAGCTGGTCACACACAACGCAATGTCTCTTTCTCGCCCACAAGAGAGTTCCACAATCAGTGTAAACATAAAATGCAGACTGGAACGCAGTGGCATTGGCACAAAACGAATGGGAATTTTATTATGTACATCATTAAAATCAACTATTTCGGATTCGGATTGGAGCCTGGGACTGAAACGGGAACTTATCCTGGTACTGGCAGTGTTCTCCGTCTCGCTCGCACCTTCTTTGTCCGCTTCTGGCCATTGTATTGGTGGGGCTGAGTGCATTTTCATGGCTTTTTCCCAGGGTCTCTGGATTGTGGGTGGCCTTTTGTCGACTGCGAATTCCGTTTATTTGTTTAAAAAGCTATAAATATTGAGAAGGGCTGGGTGCTTTTTTCGTTGGCGTTATTCATTAAAATAATTAAAAATTGCGATGGCGATAAATGAGAGCAGTAAACGGAAAACTATATGGATAGTTGGAAAGTCGTTGTAACACAATAATAAAATTATTACTTAAGTCGAAAGCTTTTATTGTAAATAACCGTCTAATGTTTATAAATAGGAAAAATTAAACCAATTTAACTTGCGAAATAATATATGCTTTTAATGCCACAAAACATTTATATTCTTTGCACATTATTGTGAGTTTTCATAATTACCGTAAACTATTTTTACTTTCAAATATTTATGTGTTGATTTTCCCTACCCTTTCTTTCAGCGCCGAACTGAATTAATACGCTAATTAACATTTTAATATTATTATGTGCCTGTCGGTGGGTTTGGGTTAACCCACCGACGGCCAACGATTTATTTTTATGTTTATCTATATAAAAATGCCGCTGTTGCTGGTGTTACACACAAAGACATACACCCATTGGCAGACAGACGGCCGGTCCACATACAAATACAAAAATGCGCTTCATTTAATAATAAACTACACAAAATTTTAATTTACTCAGACAAAACGGTGAGAGACTATTGGAATAAAATGGGAAATGGAATCGAAGTCCAAGCCACGCCCCCTTTAGCAAGAGAGGGAGAGAGAGTGTCGACCGCCATTGTTGAATGAGTGAAAGTAAGTGGGAGAGGGAGAGAGAAGCCACTCAACGGTTGAGTGAGTATCTCTTTCTTGTGTGTTGGGTCATTTCCACCACAGCTTGTTGATTTTCGACTGTGTTCTTTATTTAATTGACTTTGTCGACCCATAAAAATGTTGACTGCTTCAACTTTAAATACTCCTAAAAACCTTACTCATACCTCGCTTTTCATATTTTTCCTAAACAGCCCGCATCTTTGCTTTGATCTTAAATAATTCAATATAAATTTATTCATGGCAGAAAACATGTCAAAGAATGTCGTATCATAGTTAACAGATCTCTTACCAAAAGCATTGAAAAATGTACACCTTAAATATTTTAGTAACATACAAGATTATAATTTTTATTTACTTTAATATTTATTTAAACATTTAATAGGTTACAAAAAAAAAATGATATCTAAGGATACAAATTTATTTAAACATTTTATACTTTTAGTTTATTATTTAAGGAAAGCATAGTCTTTTTTAGAGTGTAATCACAAGGCCTCAAAATTTTTGAATCCCACAAAAAATCTAACAAAACACTAAAAACTTGGTCAGAGATAACAAAACAACACAAGCCCTAACTGTGATTGATTTATTGTTTTATTGTGCCAAAAAAAAGAGAAAATTATAAAACTGAGAAGGAAGCTGGAGAGAGAAATTAAAATTTACAATACCGATAAGCAGAGAATTGAAAACACTATTTCAGGGCTAAAGTTGGGACCAAAGTCGCAGCAAAGATGCCTTTTAAGTCGAATCAACCGAGGTTGCTGGGTAATTAATAAATAATTTGTGAGATTTTTATTTTCTTTCACATGTTGGTCCTAAAATCTGAGCACAAATGAGACGAACGGAAAGGTAAATAGCCATGGCTAATGTCTTGGATTGGTGCTTATGAGAGGGAGACGAGAGCGTCGAGATGGGATTACCCCTTCCTCACAGTTCATTAAACTGTAAATCGAGGAACGAAATATCTTTTGGAAACGTATCTTTTATGTTTAAAGGTAGAATTTCTAAGAAATAATCTAGACAATAATAAAAAAAGGTATTATTTATAAATATATTATGAATAACAATCAGTTTAAAATATCAGAAAACAAATCTCTAATTTTAACTACAACTTAGTTCTTTAAATCTTAAACTTGTTGACCACATTCACAAATCGAATTCTCTAAACATGGCCAATCTAAACTTAAGGCCAAACCCTCCCATGAATCCCAGCCAATATTTGGTCAATAATCCTTTTCCAAATTTGAATTTTCCATTGGCCACATAACATCTGCGACTTTGTACCCCTTTGATCCCCGTAATCCGAAACCCGAAAACCAACTGCTGACCAATCTATGCACAACAGAGTTTTCATTTCACACCTATTTGAAATTTGCTGTCATCTTTGCTTACTGTTATTATTATTATTATGATTATAATGCGTTTCGTAAATGAAATTGGGGCAACCGCAGGATGCGAAGACTGGCGCAGCTGGGACTCATGTGTGTTTTCGTATCGGGAAATATATGTGTAACTTTTTTATGCTCTGTCTCGGTCAGCAAAACAAATCTCAACATTTGGCATACAATTTGCATTATTTGAGATTGTTTTTTGTCTCCCCTGCTTTACTTCTTTCTTTTTTGTATTTTTTTTTTTGTTGTGTGGTGCAAAGTTAGGTCCGGTTGATGTATGTCAAAGTTACGTGCGCGTGTTAAAATCCTGTCTAATTTAATATCTATAAATCCCCGGCTATGACAGCATAGGCCCATTGGGCGAAGGGATAAAAAAAGGGTTATCAAAGGGTTGCTTATCAACGTGGCAAATTGATTTGCGCTCGTTATGCGGTCACTTGGGGTACATTTTTTGGTCAAAATTGTAAAACCGAAATTGGCCAAACGTGCGTTACAAATTAATGTTTGTTCGGGATTTTGTTTCTTCTTTCCCTGCGCTATTATTATTTTTATTTATTTTTGTTTTTTTGCAAACAAGCCATAAACCCTTTTATACTTCAACAGGATGTGCCGCCTGATGCCGAGTTATGTGGTGCAAATGCTTCTGTGGGTGGGTTTTATTGGTCGGGCAATCAATAAGGTATTAGTTGGGCCTGTCATTCAATGACATCGATATGGCTTATTGATATTGATAGGAAAGGGAGGGATATTGTTTTGGTTTAGGGCAAATATTAAGATATGATTTTAGTGGGATATCATAAATAATTGGGTTTTTTTTTTAAATATAACAAGATTAAACAAAAAGAAAAAAGTAGTATGATATTTTCGTATGTTATTTTTAGTTACTTACTGACTTAATAATGGAAAAATAAATTTTGTTGTTTCCTATATGTATTTATTAAAAATCACTCTTGATATTAACTTAAATCTTAATACAAAACTTTTTATTTGAGGGATATGAAAATACTTGAAGTGAACTAAACAATTCCTTTTAGGCGTGAACATTTTTTTGGGTGAGTAGAATAAAACAAGAAAAATGTTGTACTCCACCCTTAACCTCATTTTAGTACAATGTGAACACTTCTTTGGCAACCATTTTTATGTGCCATCGTATTATTTCAAATCATATTGTGTTAAAGCAAGCATTCTCCCTTTTTTACTCACATTTTCCGCCGCTTCGTCAGACTCATCATATTTTTTATAGCATACTTTTGTGCGCACTCACGTTAGGTTAGAAAATGTCGCCTCTGATTGCTTTCTTATTTGTTTACATTTCCAGGCTATTGACATACGCCAAAGTATAGAAACAGTGTCAGGAAAGTAAGGATATAGGAGCAGGAGAGCAGATAGAACGTGCATGGCATATCAAAGAATCGAAAATGCCCGACACATGTTTCAATCATTTTCCATTTTTATTTATTGTCAGCATTTATTCTGCTGACACTTTTCCAACCCCCTCGCCCGCCTTGAAGTCCTTTTCCACCGCTGGTGTTTGTCTGTGTGTGTGTGTGTGTGCGCTTAGAAAACAATTTGCAAATTGCTTCAAAAATCTGCCTTATGCCAAGTCGAGATCTTTGCATGAATCACTAAATGGAAATTTATCTGACTGCAAAATTGGATTTATTTTTCTGCCGCAGTAATTAAATATAAATTTTGCCAACTGTTAATCAGTTTAAGAAACTGTCAGCTGCTGAGAATTTAATTTCTTTAACATGGCCAATAAATTTTTTCCTGTGGTTGGGGGTAACAGTAAAACTTATTGAAATCCATAAAAAGTCAAAGAAGTCAAGGAAATGAAATTGGGAAAAATTTTACTGCTGTGTAGGGGGAACATTGACTTTTACAAGACCCGGAGTATTTAATAGAGATTTAAAATGAAACAAATATTTATTTAAAATGAAGTCAGCTATAAATAATATAACACAATTCTTTTACATTAAATTAGTTTGAAATAAATTACACTAAAATATAACTAATATTCTTTCAAAAGTAGCATTTTTGGCCACAAAAAATAATGATTTAGTTGAAGAGATATTCCTTTTTTTTTTGTATTGAAGTGTATTATATAATTCTACCTTCTGTCTTTTTTTGTGCCCCACTTCTGTCTGAGTGTTACCAATTTATGTGTAAAGTAAGCAAGCAGCGGCTGATTGGGGGTCTGTCCACTCGTTTGGCTTTCCTCCATTTGGCAGTTCTGCCCCGCCCACAGCCTCCACAATTTTTCCGGATCCCCACTTTTTTCCCACCGCACATTGTTGCTCATGCAATTTCAATTACGTTTGCTGTCGATTTTCGAATACGTTTCGGCGTTTCAATTCGATTTGCAATCCACCCCGGCAATCAACTTTCCACTCGATGCCCGCCGAATACCCTATCCCCATTTTCGCCACATTCGCCCCCACCCACATTTTCCGCCCTCCGATCCACTTGATTTCAATTAAACTGAGTTGCCATTGGCGCTGACGCTTTTCGACGTGTCGCAAATGCAGCTTTCAGTTTTCGCTTTCCCATTTTCCCACTGCCAGCTCCACATTTTCCCCGCACCACCCAAGAATTTTCCCAAGTTTATTCGCTTGTTTTGCTTCTGTCGACTGCTGCCGCTGCTTCTAGCCATTTAATTGTTTTTCTTCGTTTTTCATTTTGTGATTTCCTCTTTGACTTTGGCTTTGAGCTCCTCCACTTGACCACTTGCATTTTATGGCGACGCGGAAAAGCTGTTTTCCCCTCTTTTCGGGTGGTGGAAGTGGAGTTCGACCATGTTGTTGATGATGTTAACTTGGTGTTGGTTGGGTGGGGCAAGAATACAGTGGAAGAATTTTATAATCAGTTATATAAAAAAAGTTTTTTTAAGGGAATTGATTTATATTTATAAGTAAAATGATACTATGCAAAAAGTCCCTTCAAAATTTTTCAGAAACCGGAAAACAAACAAAACGAAACTTGTTTTAATTTTATTAAACATACATACAATATAAGAATGGATATATTTTGGTTTTTTTATGTTGCCAATTGGATATTTGCAAGCCTCTTTTTTTACCCAAAACAACTTAATTTAGATCTATGTAGTGTGGTAAACTATTTACTACACGTTTTATTTTAATTAAAATAAGCTATAAAATTCCATAGTACTTTCCTAAAAATGTCAACAAATCGCAGCCAATCAGGCGCTTTCCAATCGCCAATCGAGCGTCACAAATAAAAAGCAATGCGCTGCTTGTTTAAAACAAAGAAAATTGCCATTGTAAATAAAATAAAAAAGAAGACAAAAACGAGCAGGGGCAAAATCAAAAGAACGCGCAAATGGAGAGAACATGGAGGAATTGAACACCAAAGCGCCAAGAATAAAGTTTTTCAAAAGCGATAAAAACGAAATGTCGCATATTTTTATGACAAGCTGATGGTGAAATGGGGAAAGAAAGTGAGGTGAGAGGAAAACTACCCCGCACATTGGCGCAAATTGAATTTGTAAAACAGCAAACAAGGAAAATGGAACAAACAAATAAAAAAAAAACAAGTTAAATAAAAACCTTTAAAAATTTCTCAGGCAAATATTTTAGATCTTTATTTCGGATGCACCAAATTCTATTGGTTTCTGGCTCCCGATTTCACTGACACAGGGTCATAATAAGTTTTTCATCTAGGCCATTCTTTTTGTAAGCCAGGGAAATTCCATTTAAGACGGCAGGACTGGGGGTTTTAACGCTAGTATATGCGTTGATAAACTCTAGAGTGGTGTAATTAGAAAAAAAATTATAAAAATAAACGAAAGATCCCATAACTTACCTATGTGAGTCTTGGAAACATTGAAGTAGTTACACTTGTATAGAACTACGTAGTCCTTGTTGTCAGTACCTATAACTGTGTAATCCTTCAGTTCAGGTGCTGCCACATCGTAGCGAATACATAAATTACTGGGCTGAAATGTCGAAACAGTATCAAAACTATTTAGGTACATCGATCGAAGTAACATTTTTCCCTGCATTTTGGTCTGCGTGAATAAAAAAATATTAATAAAGCTCAAAAAAAAAAAAGTTAAGTGAACAAACTGGTGGAAATTGTTGTTTTAACTTTCGACATGGTCCTGGTTTGGTATTTGCAACTTCTCGGATTGCAATTAATGCCAAGATTCCCAAAATCAGAAGGCTATAAGACGATACAAAAATTATTCCTACTTTATTGACTTCTTTCTCACCTTGACTTTCCCATTTTGAATGAACAGAACGGCTTTGCTAAGTTGGGTTTTTATAAACTCGCTTAACGAAGCGAAAAATTTAAATTTTCTTTGCTCTTCTAACAAAGCGGAAAATTTACATTTTCATTAAATTAAAATTGTTAGTAAACGGATAATTAACAACACAATATGCACTATTATTATCGTTTTTCTCAGTAGAAGTGGACTAGTTATATTTTCAGTTTTTTTGAGCCCATAAATTTCGAGACAAAAATTTAAAAATTAAAAAAAAAAAAGAATGGAAGGTAGCTTCGGCTTGTGAATCAGTTTGTTAGGAGGCTATGTCACAAGCATGTACAAATCCAAAATCATAAAAAAAAGTTATGTGTAAGATATATAAAATATTTAATTGCAGTAAAAACTAATTACAAAGCTAAGGTCAGTATTAATAAGTACAACCTTTTGAATTCAATCGCCTTTATTTCTTATCTATTAACCCATATACATATATCATTATCAAATTGCTTTTATTGCCACTTTGGCGCTTGTGGTCTGAGAAACTTTGGCCAACCATTCCAAGTTCCTTGACTTGTCATAACGTATATATAGTAGATGCTGCTGCCCTGTCCCATAATTTAGTCAGTTCGCCCAGTTCAAGTATCCACAACCAGACACAAATCATAATCCTGATGGCCTCAGATAGAGATAAAGTAATGCGGCTGCTTTTGGCCGCTAAATGGATTTCCCAAAGCATTTGCCAAGTTTATGAAAAATAATCATAGCGACTATGGCGAGGAGGGGGTTGATCTAGATCTATATCATGCAGCGTGTGGTTGGCGTATAAAGTGCTTTTAAAAACATCCCAACGAGTCCAAGTCTTGGCCAAAAAGTTTTGGCCCAGCTTGGCCTTCGGAAGGGCGGAGGACTCGTTGGTGGCAAAGTGTTTTTCATGAGCAATAATAATAATTTCGGGGCCGAATTTTAATTGCACCCAATGGACTCGTTGAAGAGAAGACGGGTCAGAGACTCCAAGATGAATGGTAGAATAAAGTGAGCCAAAATAACAATGGGTTAGTCGCTCCTTCAGAAAATTCATATCCCAAAAATGATGAAATGAAAAAATTATGGTAAAAGGTCATAAACTAAATTCAGAATATAAAACAAAAACTTTGAACTGAATTTTCAAGAACTTCCGAGCTCTATTTTTGCGCTTTTTTTTATGATACTTTTCAGATTTCGTTATTAATTGATTCGTTTTATTTATAACTCAAATATCTTAAAGATTTCAAAACACGTTCCCAAGTAATAATCGTCGTGAAAAACAGTTTCATCAATCAACCAGCGAGCACATTGGGATTTCCGCAGCTTTTCCTTATGTCTACCAACGCAAATCCATTAAATTACAGCGAAATTAATTATTATGTCGGTTCTGCCAGTTCGGTTGTGTGCGCCAGGTGGGTGGCATGGGTTAAAGGGTTCAGCTCGTTTTTATGGCCACGTCTATTGCCTTGTCGCGTTTATTTTGGCGGCGCCAACTTTCATGCTCAATTAAAACGTTTGTTTAATGAAAACAAATGCGCTTAATTAATAAACACGCATTTTGTGGTTTTTGGGCTTGGGCTGGGTTCAAAGGGGGAGTGTTATTCGGATTGTGTAAAAGGGGTTTTCCCGAACCCCACTCCCCCGTTTCGTTTATATCCCTCTGAATATTTTCAGTAATGTAGAAAAGTCGAAAACTGTCGCAGCTGTTTATGCCGCGGTTGTTTGTCGTAATGGTTGTTGCTTTTGGTTTTGGTTGGTTTTGTTTAATTACATTTTGTTTTACTCTTATTGTTGCTGTTAGCGTTGTTGAGATTTATAAAAATTAAGTGGCGGTAGCTAAGGTTTTAAAACCTTTTTTTGTTCCCCTTTCACCCTGTATTAAATAGATATAAGTGTTACAAAAATTAAAGGCATACCTTGTGGCTGCATTTATAAATGATTCTTACCTAAAACAAGTGAAAAGTATTTGGGGATATGCCAGTCAGTTTGAGCAATGCTATGTTTTTTAAAAACTTTCAGTGCATAATTTTAAGCTGGTTTTTTACTCCAAAGAGATACCAAGAGTTGTGTAGGCTGACGAGCTGAGCCACTACGTCGATTCCTTAGCTCAAGTAATTAATTTGTACTAAAAACAATTATTTAATTTTAAAAATCGAAGAAGGATTCATCCTTGCGCGTTTTTTGTACTTTAAATCCCTTTGATATATTTAAGAACTTTTTCTTTTACTAACCCTTTAACTTCCCATATACGTAGATTTAATATGGTTTAATTTATTATTTTTAAAAAATATATATTCTCTAAGACTTATCCAATTCAAAAACATTGTGGAATCTTTTAGGTGAGCTTTCTATAGAGTACAACTTTATAAGTCTCCCAATAAACTAGATTACTTATCCTCCTTCCGCTTTCAGCATTTTGTCTGCATATTTGCATCATTTCTATTAATACTTGTAAATTAACCCCTTTATTTTTCTAGGGCCTACGATTGCACACTTTTTATGTGATGCATAATGCATTTCCGGAGCTCTCTATCTCCCCCATATTGTCCATTTGTGGACTAGACGAGGCCTAGGCTGTGACTTTGGCTTTGATTACGACTGCAATTGCACTGGATGGAGTGGCACGGATTGCAATGCAACTCGTATTTTTTACTCACTCTGCAGTGACATATTTTTCCCGATTAGCGCTCAACTTTCCCAGACTTTCTCATAGGTCATCAGAAACGATTGCGAAATATTCGCTGTAAGTCTAGGTGGAAATTTCGATGGCTACTCGCATTACCTTCGCTTATTGCCAACCCTTTTCCCCTCGGTCGGCTTGTCTACAATTTCATGGATGGCGCTATTTTAATGGTTACTTCTTTTTTATTGCCATTTTTTTTGCTTTGTTTTCGGTTTATTTATGTGGTTTAGGTTGCTACTTTTTGCAATTGGCGCTTTTTATGGAACATTTTGTCATAGGCCCGCACACGTGTCTTTTGGGTGATAACTTTTGCGGGCCAACAATGCGTATGCTTAATTGGTTGCGACTTATTTAGGTATAATTATGTGAGCTTAAGCTGGTATGATAAATAAGTTTGCATTAATGTGTACTTATACAAATGAAATCACTGAATAAAAACATGGTTTTTTATATTAAACAAAATGCTTTTTGTATAATTCGAATATGTATTGATTAAATTATTTAAATGTTGCCCATTATTATGTCATTACCTTCAATTTAATAAATAAACCTATTAAGCGGTCACGTAAGCCATCTTTCGTTATTCCAAAAATCTTATTTTAGCCTTATCGTACTGGGAATCTCCCCCCTGCCCCCGCAGATCTCTTGGCCACTTCCGTTACTCGTTAAACGATAAGCTCGAAGTCCAATAAAAATTCATGAATTTTGAAGACGTATTTAGGTGTTATCAGGCCGAAAAGTGCAAACAGATCTGCTCGCAAGGTGTCAAATTGAAAAATGTTCACGGCGCAAAAAAAGCTGTGAATGAATCGAGATTAAACAATATATTACAAGACTCGGAGATCGGAGATCGGATGACGGGGCCAGAAAGTGGGACCCCCAACCGATAAGTAGCCACTCAGAAGATCCCACACAGACGCACACAGCGGCAACTGATTAATTATAGTAAGCACTTGTGTAGTACTATAGTGCTATAGTGCTTGATAAAGAAAGAGCATAAAGAAAAAATTATAATAATAAAGGGCAGATCGTCTTCGCAGCCACAGCTGCTGGGTCAAGTTCAAGGACAAGCTATCAGCAATAATAAGTGGAAATGAATGGAGAGGAGGAAGCTGAAATGAGGGTAAGGGGTAATGGGAGCATGAGTACACAGAGAAAAATAGTGTATGTTATTGGTCATAAGTTTGCGATCTAAAAATGGCTTACCTAGGAAATAGAAAAAAGTTAACCCATTACTCTTTTATCTCTCTAATAATTATTATATTTTTACTCATATAATATTTTTTATATAAGAAAACCAAAAGGGTTCTCCTATTAAATAATATTTTTAAAATAAGTTTTTTACAGGACATTTACTTCATATTTAAGCCACAATTTAATACAATATTAAATTTGTTTTGTTGTTTTAATATTCTGTATAGATTGATTAAACTTCGCCTCGATTGATTTCACTTTTATTCTGACCATCTCGTTCCTGTTCTTTCTCTCTCTTGTTTTCTTTGGGAAGACCGCGCCCTTTGTAGATCATTGGGTCACTATGTGTGCAGATGCGTCCCTCAGCATCACTTTACCGCTTGCAACTGGAACACATTGAAAACATTGCGAAAAAAAATAAAGAATACTGACTGTAAGAGCCCCTGAAGGCTGTCTTCTGTTGGAGTCCCCGATGCACCCGGCTTCCCGATTCTCCGGCCACTTGTGAAGAAAGGAGGCAGAAATGAATTTGCAGCTCGTGGGTAATCAAGTGAGACACTCGCACACACTTGCAACCTGCAACGATGCCACTTGTGGGCTCACTCAGACAGCGTGGAGCTTGCATTCTGAATGGTTTTGTTTTTGTCTGGGGCTCCTGTTACCCTGCCACGCAATATGACAATATGACAGGTAATTAGGTTTCTATTAACAATAAATCATATCTGATCATCTACAATTTATAATACTTTTAAATACCATGGTCAAAAATTGTTTTTAATACATTTTAACTGGAATGTTTCTATCAAAATTAATGTTGTTATATCTCAACATTAGTAAATAAATTATATATTTCAATATCTGAAAAAAATCGAATTTCGTTTTCCTTTTCCTTAAGAATTGTTGATGTTCTTGATTGCTATTTAAACTTACTTATAAATTTGATGAAAACATTAAGGCCTTTCCATACAATAATAACTCGAATCAACTTAAATTATCATATAAAGAATGGTTTTATGTAAAAATTCTAACTTTCCACGGATTCGTGCAGGGCATTTGAAGACACCCATTCGCTTTAACCTTAGCCGACTTCAGTCTCTTTTCTGCCGTAACCCCCACTTTGGAGTATTCTTACTTGTTATCAATTGTTGTTGTGGCCGGCTGCCCCTCCCCCTTTCCCCCCAGCCTATTGCAGTTGTTGTTGTTATTGCACTTAAGTGCAGCTTGTTAATGCTCATTAAATGTTAAGGGAGCTGCGAGCTGGCTCTGAGCTCGAGAGCTGAGCTCAGCTCCCAGATCGACGGCAAAAGCAATTGTCTCGGCCCGAGCCCTGCCTCAAATTGTGGCAGAGTCCGATCCCCGGAGCTGTGGGCTTTAGTTCCATAAAATGAAGCGAGCCAGAAAGTCGCGGCGGGCGCGTTAAAAGGAAAACAACTTTGCCTCGGCACAATAAAATCAAAAAGACCCCAAAACGATCGATGACAGTGAATAAGTTCAAGCAATAAAACCAACAAAATTGAAAAACCCAAAACAAGAGGAGGAAAACTTAATCGTAAAATGAATATTCCAAAGAACATCGTGAATATCGTCTGCTTCCTATTTTACACTGACAAAAATTATTAAGAATCAATAAAATAAATAATATTCATTAAGTAATATTCAATTGCCTAAAATATTAAAAAGTGAATAATTTCACTGACAGTCATTGAAAAACTTGATGTCATGAACAGGGCCTGTTGAGTCCAGTTGAGGTCACCATTAACAAATTTAAAATTTCCATCATGATTAGAAATAAAGAAATCGGCCTTCAAGAAAATATAAAAAAAAGATTTAAGGAATTCCCAAACAATCTTTAAATCAGGTTAAAATTGGTGAAGTTATGGACTCTGTAGTTAAGTTTTGGGTTACTTCTATTGAAACCATTGTGAAGATAAATACATTTTGCATGGAGAGTGGTCAAAAAGTCATACTCCTCCGAAAAGAAAAATTAAATGTAAACTGTAGTTCGAAAATTCTTAAGTTCAGTGTAATTCTTCATTATCGTGAACCGATTCTCATTATCGCGATCATCAACATTGTTGTCGTCGCGTGAAAAACCTGTTCGCTTGGGAAAAGGCTCTCGCGTGGTTCTTGTTGTTGGCCGTGTGGCTGTGTGAAGCTAATTGAAAAGAAGTATTAACAACGCTGCCTTTTGTTTTTGTACCTTTGATTGACTGACCGACCAACACGAAGGAGTTGTAACAGGGTTATGGGGAAAATGATGGGCGGCGAGGCGGGATGTCTGGTATGGCATAATTGTGGGATCAACCAGCGGCAGAAGAACATCACGAGCAGTAAGTAGCAGCAACTGCACAGTTAATTAGTAATGCAAAGCCAATGCCTACTCAGTCACTCATTCAGGCAGTCAGTCAGTCAGTCATTCAGTCGGCCAACCAGGCGATTGCTTAGAAATTCAATTTGTATTCCACTGATCGACAGGATAAGAATTTATCCATCTGCGAGGAGAGCGTGTGAATCTTCGGACTGGATGAAGAACGGAGGAGGAGTTACGAGGGAATCGTATCTAATGTGACAGCTGAGGGGGATAAGATACGAATCTACAAGATAATAAGAGTCAAGAGTACTTACTTTATATGGGAGGATACGAAAGGGTTTAGATTTAAGGATACCGTTTGAGATGACAGATTTTAGAGTAATAAAATCTTTTAAGGACACATTGTATGAAGGTAGAAACATGATGTACAATCCCAATTTGTGAATTTTAAAGATTTGTAAAACATCTTTTAGAATTAAAATGCTTGACCTAATTTAGGGACTTGAATTTAAAATTATATGCTTAATCTTTCAACTAGATGTTGTTTATGATTTGGGAAATGTTATAAGAGACAGTCCTGATCTTATGTAGGTCTATAATACCTTCCTGAGTATTGTACTATATCTATATAACTAAATGCCCACAAGCATGCACACATGCGCATTGTTTGGCTTTAAAACAACCACAACTCTAATTCGCATTAATTTAAAACTCAATCAAGGCAATTAGAACGCACACTGGAGCGACACTCACGATCGTTTCAGTTTCTGCCCCTTTTGGCTCCTTGCCACAAGTCGCAGTTGCATGTAAAGGATTAATAGCAAACGTGATAAGACTAAAGGATATCCTAGAGGCAGTGTCGTCTTATAATCAAAGAACCATTTCCATTGCTGATTTTAAGTTCCTTTATTTTTCTTTTAACAATACTTTTATGATTGCCATTAAATTTTGTTGAATAATTCAAGCTTTAATTTATTACCATATATACCACTACTACAGATTAAAGTACATATGTATTTCTTTGCAAAAAATGTTTATAATTAATGACAATTGAATGTGAGCTAATATACCCATCAGATTGCTAGTATACCCTCTATTAAAAATCACAGCCAGTGGCAACATTGTAGTCGCGGCTCGGACATCCAGACAGCCGGTCGCACAGCTGATTTCGGTTCTTTAGAGTAGCTCGTCGCCTGGGGCGAACCTGTTATATTGGGCTGTGTTATGGAACATGGAATATATATGTGGAGTGCAACCTACCTCACGGATCGTACCCACACGCACACGAACGCTCAATCTCTCACGCACACTTGCCTACCCTTCTACTCACGCATTGCGCCCAGCTGCTCGTGTTGTTGTTGTTGTTGTTGTTGCTGCCGTCGCTGCTGTAATGTGTTGCATAAATTTGCCACTAGTAAACATTTCAATAAGCCTTGAGGCATTATTTCTTGGCAAACTTTCATTGAGTTTCTATATGCGAAAAAAGAACACAAACACACACATGGGTTCTTATCAGCAGCATGGGGAATACGACGATTAAGAAGAAGAAGCAGCAGGAGAGGAGTGGGGACACTGAGAGCGAGAGTGATCGGCGCTATCAATTACAGTCCATATTCTGTAACTCGAACGTAGCAGCTCCCCAATTAAATAAATTGATATGAGAGATATACATCATGTGATATGCTATTAAAAATGTAATATATTAATCTAATAACGAAGTAGGTTTTTTGACCTATAAAAAACCAATTCTAAGCTTTTATAATGCATTGCATACTTTTAAGCTAAGGACTTCCGGTTCTTTAAAACACTCTGTTTTGATTGTTGCATTGATTTTGGTTAGAAAGAAGAATAAAATTGTTTTTTATTGAGGGACCGTAAATGTAGTAGTGTCTACTAAATATTAATTGTTATATACACATATATTTTTAACACATATAAACCCTATATCATATCAGTGACAGCCTCCACAGCTCGATTTTAATAGGTGACAGATGGTGGTTCAAGTTAGGGACGCCCGACTGTGTTCTCACACGGCGAACACCTCAGGGAACCCGAAGAGAGGGAGCAGCAGGCACGAAGAACCTTACTCACTGGAAACGGATTCGAACAGCTGGTCGAGATCGGGCAGAGATCGATTGGATCGATCGATCGGCCGAAGCACTTGTTGCGTGGTTGGTGGTTCTCCATTAAACCGCCTCCCATCGTGAGTGCCGATCGTCGAGTGCGCGATCGTGTGCGTGAGTGCCGAGTGATCGTTCGCTGTGTGTGTTTGTGTGTGTTTGTGTGTGTATGGGTGTGCGTTGGGCTCGGCTCAGCATTTTCCCCATTCAAAAAAACGGAGCGATTCAGTCTTTGACTAAGCCTCGCCTCGCAGTTGTCGCAACCAAGAGACGCCATCAGGGATCGCGGAGGAGATCGGTGATCGGAGATCTGGGATTCGGTTGCGGGCTCGGTCAATCCGAAATATAGTGTCCCTGGCCACGGCTCTAATTAAATATATTCTGTTTACCATAAATAATTTACAAGAACATCAAACGCATCATAATCGACGAGCAAAAAAAAACAGAGTCCAAAAGTGCAATGTCTGTCTGTGATTAGAAGTTTCTATTGTTTTCCCCACACCAGAAACTACGATTGTCTAAAGCTTTAAATAATAACAACAATGATGTGCAATGTAACAATTAAAAGTGATGCAAAATAAAAATATTTCTAAAATATTTACAAGGTGATAATCAAAGCATTTTTGAATGCAATGCTAATAAAAATGAATAAAAGTCGGACCTAGCCTGCAAAGGATCTAAACATATTGGATTTAAAACGAAAACCCATTTAAGTGGTAAGTTATTTTGAATATATGTACATAATCAAAATCTAAACAAATTTTTATAGTTACATTATTCTACGAAACCAATTTTATTGGTTGTTTTACTAATATTTATATTATTTGTATTTAATTTTCCCTCCTAATTCTCAAATTTGTGCCAGTCTCCATAGAACCTTTCAAATCAAGTTCAGTTCTTCTCATATATACAATTTCTATGGAATGTTAAAAATATTAATTAAATATTTACACAACCGTAGCGACGGCAGTTAATCATAAAATGCAATACGGCTATAATAAAACTGAATCGAACTTCACAAAATATAAACATGAAATGTATGAGAGTGTGCGTGTGTATCTTGAAAAATAAATCGTGTTATACTTCGGCAAACAAACGCATTAAATTGCAATTAGCCTCTCAGTTCTCCACTTCTCTTCTCACGGCGTGCTGAAGTCATTTTTTATTTATTTATTAATTTTTTCCCCATTATTATTTCATATTTATCAGCGAGCACGAGCGTTTTCAAGTGTAACGCAATAAGAAAAAAATCATAATAATAATTTTTTGATGATTTTCTTTTGTTATCAATTATGTGAGAGAGCTTCAAGTTCATTATCATCATTAAAAAAAGCGTCATCATACGGTGGAGATTCTCGCATCGATGATGTCGATTGTGGTTGTTTCATCTGGTTTGTCAAATATTAAACCGAAAATGTTATAAATATCTGACAAAGTAAATGCCAATCGATTACGTTTGAAATGTTTTTTTTATTATTTTTTTTACTCTCTTTGTGTAACTTAATTTTTTGTGTTTGTATCATACTTAACGAGCATTGACCGAATGATTAAAATTATTTTGGGTCGTTGTCAATGATGATGCATTTACCTTTGGGTTGGGCTTTTGGGATCAGTGGTTCAATGTTATTGCCCTTATATGCGAATATTGATATAAAGATCGTTTGTTAAAATTACACTTCCGTATATAAATCTTTTTATTAAATAACAAAAAGATTAACTAAGCTTCTCAAAAACTGTTTACAAATAATTTTTAATACAACTTAAAGAACTTTTGATGACCTAGATTTAATGTGCTGGTCGCACGCCTACATTATTGAAGTGTTATTCAAATACCCGCTTTATAATATTTAACCCAAAACCCCACACGAGCTGTACGCAAATTTGATGGCTTTTCGCGACATGTTCTGCGATCACATTTCACCTTCCTTTTTTGACTGGATTTCAATTTTTTCGCCGAAGTTTGCTGATGCATCAAGAATTAATTTCGGGTGTTGGACAAATTTATATTATTAATTGTTGGCGTCAGACAGACTACCAATCGCACATTCCACCACATTAAAAGCCAGGACACCATAAAAAAAAACCAGGTAAACACAATATTTAAACGTAAGTGCGACTTGGCCTGCAGACGTTGCCAAAAAGCGACGACAGGCCACAAAATGTGACACAAAAAAGTGAAACAATTCACCTTTTTTTCCTGCTGATTTTTTTGCAAAATAAACAAGTTTATGTTTTCGTCAGAATTTACATTCTTCTATATATGCCGATTGATTCTTAACTCGTTATTTATTCGTGGCTATTTTTATTGGCACATTTTTCACATTTATGCAAATCGTTCCAAATCAAGAACCCGCCCAAAAATTGGTCAAAAAACTTGGGCCGCTGCGCAGTTACAGAAGACCCGAGCTCAGCTCAAACGGTTGGCGATCCGCAGAGCCAGACATCAGCAGATTATGTCACTTGTGCCAGTCACATTTAAATATATATATAGAGTGCACACGCCAAGACATCGGACGGGGCTTCATGGTCACGGCCACCATCGACAAACGGGAAACTTGGCTTAACAATTTCTTTCCTCGGTCAGCTGTTTCCTACCTCCTGCTCTTGCCAAAAGTTAAGAGATAAACAAAAGCTAACAGAGAGGGGTCTACACGGAAAAAATTAAAATTAAATATTATTTTTAAAATTACTTTATTAATATTTAAATAAAGAGTATAAAGAGAACATATTCAAAAACACTTTTTTTTTGGCAATAAAGATTAAATAGATTTACAAACAGTGCCTTTTTATTTGTTGTTCATCTTTTTGTATTTCGAGTGTATACCATCATATCTTAATCTATACTTATGTATAAAATTTAGCATAAATCTGTATTCCAAATTGATTTTATTTTCTGTGTATCCATTAAATCACTTTGGCTTTGGCCAAGTTCAACGTACGGCCAACGGCCAACGCCGACAAAGTAAGCCTCGCAAATAGAAATAGAGAAATTTTTCATTAGATTTGTGCTGTTTTGCCACTCTTGTTGCTGCTGAATCTGCAGAAAGCCTGGTCTAAGCCATGACCAAACTTGCTTTCCGTCCCAGAACTCGCAGAAAAAGTCTTGTGTTAGAAAAGCATTAGAAGCTGGCTCGGATAAGAAAAGTGAAAGAACAGGTGTGAGATTTTAGTTCACATAGCTATCGCTCAAATCTTGAAGTGCAGGAATAATTAATATATTTTGTTATAATTAATACAACCAGTCAACCCAAAACCATTCCATTTATATTTGGGGAATTAAAGTGGATATCCATCCAAATATTTTTTCTTGAAAAAAAAAATACTTTAATGAAATCTTCCAGTTCATTCTTCCACAAAATCTGTTTGAATTCCCGATATACCTACTATTAAGAGTCACGTCATCCCCGAGCCCATAAAGTTCGATTTCTTCTATGTCATTTTTGTTGGGGTAATCAAAAAGCGTTAATGACTGCAGAACAGAGTAGTCAAAAAGAAAGAAACGAAAAAATCGAAATTTTTATTTGCGTCTTAACCCAATTAGGGGAGCCGAAGAAAAGACGGCCAGAAATTGTGAAATTCCAAGATCAAAACAGATCGGGGACGAAAACAAAAATACGAGAAAGAAGAAAGAACTTTCCCATCGCTTCTCGTTTTACATAATAATCGGTTACATAATATGCTTTCTACCCACCGCTGGGTGCTTTCTTCTGCTTCTTTTGGCCTGGAGCTGGGAGCTGGTTTCCAAGCCGGTTTTGGCCATCTGCTTGGCCACTGCCTTGCCTGCTTCTAACGCAACTCTAACGATGAGAACGTCGTGGAGTTGTGAGTCGCGAGTGGATCCCATCTGCATATTAATCAGAGAGTGAGCCGGAGAATGGGGCCGGACCAGTGAAGAATTCGCAAGAATTCTTATTAAAAAGCGAGTTTGTGTTTTTGTTGTTCTAAGCCCAAGCACGTTGGAAAAGTGAGAAGCGCATAGAACGGCGCACGCGTCGCGATGAGAAGCGAGATCTCATGATGAGATGAGGAAGTGATTAAGCCCCAAGAAGGAAGTGCTCGCCTCAGATGTCTGTGATTTGTATTTCCAGTTTCCAGTTTATTTTCTTCTTTCTGTTCTTGATTTTTGCACAGGCCTATCGGCCAGCTAAATTTGCATTAATGGTTTATATTTACCACACCTCTCTCCCGCCGAATCTCACGCACATCGCATGCGGCATGTGGCGTCACGTAGATAAAGACATTACTTACCTGTCTCCCCGAACAATTCTTATCGGGCCCTCTGATTCTTTCGCAAATACCATTTTCGGTAGCCCAAAGTCATCGCGAGGTTCTCTATTCGTATTCCGGATTTATTTGCCAAACGATCGTGTGGCTGTGCTGTTGTGTGGCTAGGGCAAATATTAGAATTGATCATCTATCAGTGGTTCTCTTCCCTCTGGTTTTTTTTTGTTTGACCGGTCCAATCATTAATCACTTGGAGCAGGTAACCCCTTGAGGCTCAAATCGATTTTCGGAGTATTTATATAGTTTTTATATCCGGTTGGCAATAGGAAAATAGAAAAAGGTCTCCACAAAAATTCTAATAGGAAAACCTGAGTCAAACAAAACCAATAAGAAACGTTCCCATTTCCTTGGAAAACCAATAAATAATTTTCAGACCCTAGAAAGTGTAGGTTAAGGTAGGCCAAGATCTCTTTTATTTTTGTTAGAACAGCTCCACTTTTCATTAATCAAATCAGGTTTTCTTAAGATCGATTTGAATATTCAAAAATGCTATTGTTAATTTGGAAAGTTTTTATGGGGCTTGTGGAATTTTTGTTGAAAATAAACTTTAATATCCCCAAATAAACATCGCATTTTATAGACTTTTGCAAGCTGACGAAATTCGCAACACAATCGTTACACGAATTTTTCGGCTATTAACCTTGAACTTTATCACGCCCGGTTGGTATTATCTTATCTGATGTGGAAAGCCATAAAGCTTGTTTCTTTTTCGCCAGACATTTGCCTTGCAGAATAGCCAAAAAACCAGAGAACCAAGAACCGAGAACAATGTGTTATCGCCAGTTGCCAATAATAATGCAAAATCGATGATCAACCCGTGGTTTGGGTGGCAAAAATAAAAAAGCTATATAAAGCCAAATACGAATTAGTCGACCGGTTGGCATCGAGTCGAATCAAATTGGCCAGACTTCAATTAAAGGCCTAAAACCGCTCGGGAGAATTAGCATAAGTGATTCTAAAGTGGATTAAGTCAGTAAAGTAAGACCCAGAATTCTAATTGCAGCGCCTCATGGTAATGGCCGTGATTTTGTTGCTGGCCTTGGCACTTTTACTCGGCTTCTACTGCGTTCTCCACCGGCAAAAATTGGCCGAGATCTATCTGCGGCCTCTTTTGAAGAACACGCCCTTGGAGGACTGCTACCATGCCGCGCCAATCGAACCGGAGGCGCCGAGGCGAAGGAGGCGTGGCATCTGGGATATACCCGGTCCGCAGAGGATCCCCTTCCTGGGCACCAAGTGGATATTCTTGCTCTTCTTCCGCCGCTACAAGATGACCAAGCTGCACGAGGTATATGCGGGTAAGACATTATCTAGATAGACCTTTAATATTAGTTGAAGAAGGAAATCAGGTTAATTCAAGTGAGCCATAAGTAAAACATTATTGAAAATATGGGGTGTTTTGTAACTCTTTAAGTCAGGTTATTACCAGTCGTTACTCAATTGTGATTGTTGAAGTCGTCATTTCTTTAAACCTACTTTTGTATGTGTGTATTGATTTTTTTAAGTAACAGAAGACATTTGTAGAAATAGAAACTAATATGTTTAATCAATTATATTAAAGATCTCAACAGACAATATGGCGACATTGTGCTGGAGGTGATGCCCTCCAACGTGCCAATTGTGCATCTGTACAACCGCGAGGATCTGGAGAAGGTGCTGAAGTACCCCAGCAAGTATCCATTCCGACCGCCCACCGAGATCATCGTGATGTACCGGCAATCCCGACCAGATCGCTATGCCAGTGTGGGAATCGTGAACGAACAAGGACCAATGTGGCAGAAGCTGCGATCCTCGCTCACCTCCAGTATAACTTCGCCCAGGGTGCTGCAGAATTTCCTGCCCGCCTTGAATGCGGTTTGCGATGATTTCATGGAACTGCTGAGAGCCAGAAGGGATCCCGACACCCTGGTGGTGCCCAACTTCGAGGAGCTGGCCAATCTGATGGGTCTGGAGGCCGTGTGCACCTTGATGTTGGGCAGGAGAATGGGTTTCCTGGCTGTGGACACCAAACAGCCGCAGAAGATCAGCCAACTGGCAGCCGCTGTGAAACAGCTTTTCATCTCGCAAAGGGATTCCTACTACGGTTTGGGCTTGTGGAAGTACTTTCCCACCAAAACGTACAGGGAGTTCGCGAAGGCCGAGGACTTGATCTATGAGTAGGTACACACCTATCTGGGGCTCCCTAACTCTCAATTCCCATCTAACTCGAATCGTTCTCAACCAGTGTGATCTCCGAGATCATCGATCACGAGCTGGAAGAACTCAAGAAATCAGCCGCCTGCGAGGACGACGAGGCTGCTGGTCTGCGGAGTATCTTTCTCAATATTCTGGAGCTCAAGGATCTGGATATTCGAGACAAGAAGTCCGCCATTATAGACTTTATAGCTGCGGGCATAGAAACGGTATGGGTTATTTTTGATATTTTAATTTATTTTCTTCTTAAATAATTTTAATTTTTTAGTTAGCCAACACCTTGCTGTTTGTGCTGAGTAGTGTGACTGGGAGTCCTGAAGCCCTACCTCGCATCCTGAGTGAGTTTTGCGAGTATCGGGATACGAATATCCTGCAGGATGCTCTGACAAATGCCACGTACACCAAGGCCTGCATACAGGAGTCCTACAGACTGAGGCCCACGGCCTTTTGTCTGGCCAGGATTCTGGAGGAGGACATGGAGCTTTCGGGTTATTCGCTGAATGCAGGGGTGAGTTAGGGGATAAATTCACCAGATAAAAATTATAATTTAGAAAAACATAGTTATGCTTTTAAAAGAACATACATTGAATTAGGTACCGTGCTTAATATTTACCTTAAAATCCCATTAAGTTTTCTTATTGTTTTCTTGGCAATAACATTAAAATAAATAATTTTTTTTATTTACTCCAGACCGTGGTGTTATGTCAGAATATGATCGCCTGCCACAAGGACAGCAACTTCCAGGGAGCCAAGCAGTTTTGCCCAGAGCGTTGGATCGATCCTGCCACGGAGAATTTCACGGTGAATGTGGACAGTGCCAGCATTGTGGTGCCCTTCGGAGTGGGTCGTAGATCGTGTCCGGGAAAGCGCTTTGTGGAAATGGAAGTGGTGCTGCTGTTAGCCAAGGTTAGTATAAGATACGAGATACAAGATACCATTTGAGTTAAATAATTATTATTTTAGATGGTCCTGGCCTTCGATGTGAGCTTCGTGAAGCCCCTGGAAACGGAGTTTGAGTTTCTGTTGGCTCCCAAAACCCCACTTAGTCTGAAGCTCAGCGATCGGGTTTTTTGATCGTCTGCAGAAGCTGAAAACTGATTCACAAGCCCTGCCTACTCTCAAGCGTTTTGTATTAAATACAACTAAAAAAGCTAAGAACTGAACCATTAAGTGAAATTAATGTAAAATATGCTTAGGACTCTACTCTATATATATCCTATATTTCCGATGACCCAGCATCAGCAGCCTAGTCCTGTGAAGCAATCAAAACAAGAGCAATACCAATCAAAATAATTTTACATATTTATGCTGACTGGATGGTAGAATTAGTTGTACATTTTCATGTTTTGTTGTAATTACTTAGTTGTCGATTCTTCGCATAATTATTGTTAGTTGTATCTTATAAGTAGCAGCAATTGTTTTTGAGAGTTCTGTAAACGGAAAGACTGTGTTTAAGTTTTGTTTTTCATGATTTTAACAGTTTTTACACCTTTTTTTGTAAATAGTTTCACTTACCTGTCACTAGACTTGTGTACAGCATAATTTTAATTGTATTTATTCAAGTGTCCCAACTGCTTACGTTTTTATTTCATCTCTACATCTGTGAATATTTTTGTTAAAAGAAAAACAATATTCAAATAAAATAAATTGAATTTAAACAAAACACGAAAGTTAATAACAAAATTAATCCATGTGTTTATATTCTTGTAAGTAAAGCTTTGCCTTTGGTTTAGGTCTCTACTAACAGTAAAGGGAAATTTCATAAAAGTTCTTGACAGTCGCGTCCAACCTACCCAACATTTTCAAAAATATCCCGTACTAGTTATTCATATCATAATTTCCACATGAACTTTAAAGTAAAAACAACAGCCTAAATAAGTTTTATCTTATTTGCTTGGCATGCAGGTGTTAATTTGTATTATTATACAATATTTGTCCAGCGTTTGAAAACAGTAGACTTGGCTTAAACGCGCTCGAAGCGCTCTCTTATGTGCTCTCTTAAGCTACACACAAAAAAACGTTGGCCTTACTACTTTATTAAATTTTGCATGTATTCCTTAAATTTTATTGGAATCAAAGAAAAAACTACTTCATATGGTTTGGGACAGTTACTTTGTGAAAATATTGTAATTTATTCAAGTTTTTTGTGTGTACCAGCATTCTCTTAGACCGTTAGTTCTCCTAGCAATTCTCTCTTAAGTTTTGGGCTGTGGCTCGTTTGGCGGGCTTTGGAACTGTTGGTTTTAGTTTTGGGTTCAGGTTACAACATTTGTCGAGGCTCTTAAGAGAAATCGGGGAAAAGGCCACAGAGAGCGTTCGCCAACGGTCTGACGATGCCGACGAGGCTTGTACCATGGGCTGTGGCTCGTTTGGCGGGCTTTGAAACCGAGGTTCAGGTTACAGTTGTCGTTGGCGTTTCGTCGGTTTCAGAGCGTTTCGAAAACGCAATTCCGCTCCAAGTCGCAGTTAAAAGTGAAATATCTGAAACTATCTAGCGCGCGTGAAAAAATTTATTCATTTATCTCTGTGCATTTAGTGTGAGACATAACTAAAAAATCTAACCCAAAACATTTGGCTGCACTTGTGTTCTGCACCGTTCAACGAATATTTGAAAAATGTAATACCATAACCCAGAAACAAAATTCATAGTAAAACTTAAAACCAGTTTGTCGTTTGCTCGACAGTAACTAATTCGTAGAAGAGTTGGAAATGCACCGAACATTCGAAAAACAAAACTAAAGTTTGTTCAGCTTCAGTCGCAGTTTCGATTCTCCAGCGAAGATCTCTCTGTAGAATGGAGTCTGTGAGATCGGAGGGCCCCACCCAGCAGAGCTAATTGTACAATAAACAAGCACTGTGTACAACAAAAACTACATCAGCAAGACGATCGCAGCACTTTGTTGTTATTGTTAGACATGCTAATTTTGCACAATTCACAAAAACAACAACGACAACAAAAACAACAACAACAACACTAGCTAACACAAATTAGTTTGTTTAATGTCACTCACTGACAATTTTCTCACCGTCAATGCGGCCCCTCCCCTTTGATGCAGCTTTAATTAGGTGACAAATACTTAGGAAAAGTTAAATTGGCTTAAAAAAAATAGGTAGATTTCTAAATAAACATATACTTACAATTCAACCAATATTGGTATCTCCTTTAAATGATATAATACATAAAATAGTAAATATTGTTTACTATATGTTTTAAAAAAGTTTGTTTTTGAATTTTTCAATACTTTGTAAACATTTTTGCAAAATTCTTCAACCGCCAAAACCAGTTCGAGCCAAGTTTGTTTATATTAGCACTCAATTACTGCCTTCACGCGCACGATTTCCCCTTTGGGGGGACTAAACCCCTTTCGATCCAAAACCAATATACTACATGGACACTGACCTTCAATGACAGGCTCGACACGAAACAATAACAGAATGAAAGCAGTGACAGTAACCCCCGTGAAACATGGGTAAATCCCGACGAGCCTGGGCCAATTGGTTTGGCATTGAATTTGCCAGCAACCCCCAAAGGAGTCGCCTAGAAAACTCCCCCGACAGCAACCACCCCTATAAGACCCTACCCATACCGCCCACATCGCAAAATGTTGCATGCTTAGTGCTAAAACAAAACCCAAGTTAGTTACTAGTTGCAGGCGGAGTGGGTTTGAATGAGGTCAAAACCAAAAGCAGTAGCAACTATTGGCAAGAATATGGTAAATAATTGCAAACATGCAGGCAACAGTGATGTAGCTGAGTTATGGGACTTCAAGATACCCATTTTAGTGCTTGGTTTACTGGCTCATAAAAAAATCAAGTTAGATAATAAACTGCTTATGTATAAGGAAAAGTATGACACTGTTTTTTCTGAAAACGAAAAGGCCTGAGTAATAGATACTCTTAAAACTTATAAAAAAAAACATTTTTTTAACAAACCAAACATATTTAAGTAAGTTAGGTTTTCTCCTTTCTGATCTTATTCCGAACTTAAGACTCACTAAAGGATTATTTTACTTAAATATTTCGAACTCCAAATTTTAAAATTCTTTTTAGATGTTTGGAATTTTAGTCACAGCTTCAGGACATTTTAAGATAGAGACATTTATTCGTCTAGCCTAATAAAGTTATTTAACAAATATACCCTTACCTTTGGTAATACCCATGTTTGGATAATGCAACTGGGAAATCGCGAGCTGCCCTTCGCCTGGAGCTAAAACTAAGGCGATGACCAAGTACAGTAGGCGCCTTATACATATATGCATTTTGAGGTGGGTTCTGCCCTCTCACTCCCCCATTGGCCGTCTCTCTTTCTCTTGCAACCAGTTTGCAGTGTGCATATCAATGCGAGTGTGAGGGGGAGGCTACCACCCAAGGGGGCGGAAAAGGGGCAAAAGGGGGAGGCGGCATCGGCTAAAAACAAGTTTTGTTGCATTTTTCAATTGCCCAAGTTGGCTCTGATTGAAAGATGAAAGATACAGATGATAGTTCTCTTCGGATCTGGGTTTTCAGGAAATTGCAAATGAGGCTTAATTAAGCAAGCCAAGTTGGGGCTTGCTTGGGCGAATTCTTTGGAAAGAATCCAAGAACCAAAACAAAAACGGAGAATCGAGAACAACAACAAGTCATTGACCCAAAACTCAGACCAGTTATAGGGCTGCTAAGGAACAAGAAAACAAAAGGAAGAACAAATATCCCTTTTTGAGCCTGAAATCGAAACAAGGTTAATTCACAGTGATGGCCACAAAAAAACATCCACCTTTTTTTTTGAGAATAAATCCTCTCTTTAAGCCAAGCTTACGCAGGTGTGGCAGGTAGCCTCACTCTCTTAGTAACTCTCTTTCAGCTAAGCTCTCTTGTTTTCCAAAACGAGTTTTCTTGGCCAATACGTTTTGTTTACCTTTTTTCCTGTGTTTCGTGGCTTGTTGCGTGTGTTTTGTTTGGTTTCTGGCTTTTGGGCTTTCTTCTTCTAAGCGCCGTCGAAAAAAACTTGTTTTTTTTTTGGTTCAGAGGGGGGATGAGAGGTGTTCGAGTGTGGGCCAAAACGTGAAGCACTCGTTAGCAACAACACGCAAACAGTTAACCACCGAAACTCCAATCTTTTAGAGCCGCCAGCTTGAAAATGATTGAGCAGATTATATAGGGAGCATATAATGGCTAAAAGAATTAGTAACGGTGTGACTTTATTTTCATCATGAATTTTAAATAACATTTTAAACATAATAAAATAAAATTTTTATTTAGAAAAATTAAATGTATTTGATAATTTTAAAAACGATAAAATTACTTCATTTTTATATTTCAAAATACTATAGTAAAGTGTTAAACATTTTTATTTACTACAAATGATTTTCTTAAAACCCTCTAAGTTAGGTTTTTTAAATATTGAGAATTATTATATGTATTATACAAATATATAAACTTGGTTTCATTCCACTGTATTTCAATTGGTGGTAGTTTCTTTTATCTATTTGTTATTTACCTTTGCAACCAGAACCTAGACACTAAAATGTTTATTAAGTCCAAGCCCTCGCTTTTTAGAGAGGGAGTGTCTTGGGACCATATCATCTTTCTCTTTCCATTTCTCTGTGTATCTCTTTCCGTTCCCCCTCTTCTTTACCTTATCCCCCTCCCCTTCCACAGTGAAAGTTATGCGTGACCCTTTTTAGGGCTCCAGTTGAGTTTCCAGTTTCATTTCGAGTTTGACTTATTTTTTCTGGTTTTCCACTTGCATTTTAATTGTTGTTTATGGGGTTACACATCGCGGGGTTAAATAGCACAATCCCCTCCCCATTTCCCGCCACTCTCTTTTATTGTACGTGCCTTTGGCCAATTTTGGGCCTTTTTTCTTTTGTTCTTTATGTGATGCAATTAGCTTTAATCAATGCGGGGAACCGACAGACCCACGCAGCGATTTCATTGTTAGGTTATGGAGTAGCGATCCAACTCCACGCTTTATACACAGAAAAAAAAACAAAACTTGCTAGGGAATAAAAAAAATAATAATAATACAAACAGTAAAATAAAAAAAAATAAAAGTTTAATATTATTATTTATTATTATTATTTTAAATACAATTTTAAAAATCAATTTCTTTAAAGATTTTCTTCAGTGCAGAAATAAATACATAACTCTAACCAGCAGAAAATGGTTTAATAGTGTCCAAAAGAGGTGACAATTGAGCGACAATAGCCTCCTTGTCGGAATGTAATTATCGGTAGAATACAATAGAATTATAGATGAATTGTCACAAGGCAGCGATTCTAGTTGGCTTTAAATATTCATAACACTTTTCGCTGCAAACTCACGTAGGCTGCTCGCATTCCCAGCTCGAACTTGGTATGCATCTGGGCAACTCACAGGCGAATGTATGAACCCCACCCAAAAGTCCCACACACCCAATCAGATGAGATCACCCCAGAATTTGCCCTTAATCAATTCGGTCTGCAACTGGATGTATTTCATGTGGGAGACCTTCGGCCATCAATTGACACAAATCCGCAGCAGAACGTAGTTTGTTTAGTTATAAATGTTTGCACGCTCCACCGAGCATCCAATAAAAAATATCCGATAACCCAGAGTCGGAGGCCAAGTATGGCCATTAAACCCGAGTTTGGATGATCACGAAAAAGCCAAAATTGAAGATTCCGTTTCCTCTGTAGGTCGAGAACATATTCAACAGAATCAGCGAAATGAGTTACTTGCGATCGATAGGTACATATAGAACGTGTCTTCTCCCCGAGCAAATGCCAAACTGCCCAAATATTCAATTGAGCTAACTGTTTTATTTAATTCATTAATTGTTTAATTGCCCGGTGCAGAAATCTCACGCGTCGAAATGTCGCCGGCTGATGATAATTCCTTTGCCACCACCAACGGCAACAAAAAGGCCACATACACGCTGATATGCATCAAAATTGTGGAGCTGGTAAGTTAACAATTAAAAATATTGATTTTATAAAATTTTAATACACAAAAATCTGTGAATTTCACGAGTAATAAGTGGCAATAGTTCACTAGAGTTGAACAAATTTCTTATATATTTTTGCATATTTGAATACAATCAAGAATTTGTAATTTAATCTGTAGTAAATATTTATTTATATTTTATAGTTATCAAAAAATATTTTATTAAATAACTGGCTATAATAAAAAAAATATTTTCATTCCAATAGTGCCTTTTAATATGCTGCCTGGGTCTGATTGACGAGCCTGCTACCAATTCCCATCTGCGGGTGTTCATTACTCCCCGAGTTATGGCCCTTTGCTATGTGACTTTTGGAGCCCTGACTATTTACACAGCGATCTATCTGCTGATGGCACTGTTCGGTGATCTGTGAGTATACAAGAATTACCCTTATTTTTATAGATCTATATTCAAATCACATTTTCATGATATAGGACACCCTGGAGAACGGCTACTTTGTGGTCCCTGGTGGGCTTCGTTCTTTTCGTGGCCGTCACTGCTCTGCTTTTCCGCGATTGGTCCACCACCAAGGATCGCAACTATTGGCACCCGAATATGCATCGTCTGGATCTCGTGATGGCCTCCGCCTCGATTTCCTTGGTCACCTCGCTGGTCTTCCTGCTGGACATACTCATCACCCTCCGTTTCGGCGTGCACGGCGATCTGGAATGACATGGTCGACGAGGATTTGCTTGGCGGGAAAGGGGCCTCCACTCGATTCTCGCCTAGCGACGTGGACTGTAATATTTAGAGCTCCAACTTAGACGTAAGAGCCCTGTTCACATCCCCGTCTCCCAGCTAATTGTAATCCCACGAAGAAACATCTGAATTGCCATCATCGAATTGAAAATGTACAAAATCGACGTCCGAGGAGGTTTAAAGTTCTATACGCATCGGCTGCCCTGTTTTGTTTTTATACCCTTGCAGAGCAAAAGGGTATTATAATTTCAGTCAGAAGTTTGCAACGCAGTGAAGGAGACACCTCAGACCCCATAAAGTATATATATTCTTGATCAGCATCACGAGCAGAATCGAAATATGTATGTACGTCTGTCCGTCTGTCCGTCTGTCCGTCTGTCCGTCTGTCCGTCTGTCCGTTTCCGCGCAAACTAGTCTCTCAGTTTTAAAGCTATCGTGCTGAAACTTTCCCAAAAGTTGTGTAGTTGTTGCACGCAGTATATAAGTCGGAACGAGCCGGATCGGCCGACTATATCGGATAGCTCCAATACAAGAGAATGAAATAAAAAATTCTCACTCTGTTGTTTTTCATCAGATCGACTTGAATTCTTCAAGATGGCGTTTTCTAACTGTTATTGAACTTCGGATTAAATTTGATCAAAATCGGATAACTCTATCATATAGCTGCCATAGGAGAGATCGAAAATTATATATAGAATTAATGGAAATAAATTGATAATATCGTTGTTTTTCATCAGACAAGTATAATTTTTGGAATATAGAGTGTTCTTACGACTCTTGAATTACGAGTTAAATTTGATCAAAATCGGACAACTATATCGTATAGCTCCCATATGATCTATAGTCAAAAATATGGAAAATGAATAGAAAAATCGTCTTAGCTTCGATGTTGTCTAGCCTTTATGCGTTTTGTTCGACATATTTGATGACTGCAAGGGTATATAAGCTTCGGCTTGCCGAAGCTAGCTTCCTTTCTTGTTTTTTTATAAGCTTAATACTTCGAGCATCACGAATGTTTTGTCTAATCCAATTAATACTTAAGATCCAACACAAATAAATTTTGTACGAGCGAATATTTTCACGAAACAAAAGGCTAACATTCTATTTACTTTTGAAACAGTCCGAGTGAAAAAATATGGTGGTTTTTCATGAGTTATAATAATTTGGGCTCTTATTATATACAAGTCGAAACAATAACGAAAAAAAAGATTCATTAACTGTTAACAAGGCGAAACAATTCGTTGTGATGAAATAATGAAGTTGGCAGATAGAATTCTTTGAAGTCACTTTGATTTGATGAAGTATTTTTCAATGTCCTGATCGTTGTTGATCATCTGCAGGCCATGGAAGGTCTCCTTGATGTAGCATTTTCCAGCGTCGCCGTCACCTAAATTATTTCAATTAATTTTGTGGTTTGTAAACAGTTTATTTATCTTACCCAAACTTCCGTCACAAATACGCTGAGTGAGCAATTTGGCCAGAGCTTTGAAAAGTTCCTTGGTGGCAATTTTTCGTTTATAGTAGGGATTGAGCCACTGAACCACATTTTTGCTGACATCGTTCTTTTGTTGGTTTTTTTCCGGCTTTGTGTCCTTCAGCGAACTTCTTTTTGAATCGGATTCACTAGAATCTTTATTCTGCTGAGACGAGTCTTTATCTTTCTCTTTTTTCTGTTCTGATCCTACCTCTTTAGAGTCTCTACTCCTGGATGATATATCTTTTAGATGCCTTTCTGAATCTTTGCGCTCACCCGAACTATGTTTTACATCCTTAACTTTATCCTTATCAGATCTTGATACTTTTGACACTTCTTTGTGAGATTTCCTGTCACGGTCATCCTTTTTCTCAGATTTATTTTTGTCATATTCCTTTGCTGCTTTACTTTCTAAATTATTTTCCTTAACATCTGCTTTACTCAAACTTTTTTCCTTAAGTTTGTTTTTTTCCAACATTTCTCTAGCGGAAATGAAGCCTAGTGTTTCAGGTTTTCTATTTGCTTTTTCTCTCCTTTTCTCGTCTTCAAGTTTATTTCTCTCCAACATTTCTCTTGCTGAAATAAAGCCTATATCTTTATTTTCTGTCTTTTCCTCCTTTTCCTCTTTAATTGTTTCAGTTGAGCTGCCCAATTTTTCTTTTCTTTCCTCCAGCATTTGTCGAGCAGTTTTGAAACCAATTGAAGGTTGCTCAAACTCCTCTTCAGATTCGCTTTTAAAAGATCCAAAAAGATGTTGCATGCTAACCGTAGACTTTTTGGGTTCCTTTTCTTTGGGTTGATTTTGATGAGAAACTCTTTTCCTGCGATGCGTGTCGTAGCTGCCATCGCCGTTCGACATCAATTTGAATTTTCTTTCGCCAATTATGCTGTCAGGTTGACTTTCGAGTTCACTTGCAGGATCAGAACTTTCTTGGTCCATGGGTTCATCTTTAACGTGGTTGGAAGAAGTCTTGTCAGTGTCTTTATCTTCTACATCCATTTGAATTTCTTCGGGTTCTTTTTTAATGGCTACTCCTTCTCCATCATTTGATGAATCGGACGGTTCTTCTTTTATCTCTTTCTTAAAAAAAGAGGAAATCGAAGTCTGCTTACTGCTATCCTGTTTGAATCCTTTCCTTTCTTTCAAGGTTTTTGGCACCTCCTTGAGACTTTGGGGTCTCTGCTCTTCCAGCTCTTTCAGCTTCCTTTCAAAGTAGGCCACACTTCCCCCCGTCCAGGCGCCTTTTGCACTCGTTTCTGGCTTGGGAATATAATCCATTAAAAGCGGCATCAATTGCGTCTTTCCTGTAAGTTGTTTAATAGTTGAAATCTGTAAGAAAAACAAATTAAATCAGTTTAAAAAAATATAAGCATTTTTAGTAACTTCTTATTCAAACCTGTTTAACTAAGGCATGCCGGTACATGTTGGCTACTTTATTTTGGCGAAACACTTCATACTCCATATCCACTGCCATAGCTTCGTAATCATTGTATTTTAGCACGCTTTTCGGGCACTGCTCTGGGTCATCTTTGCACTTCTCTACGTTGTCTTTCAAGGCATCAATGATGGCAGTGAGATACTTTTCCCGGTGAGTGGACTGAAGTCCTGCGATTTTCTTTTCAGTGGCTTCTGCCTGACGAATGCGAGATATTTGCGTTGCGGTTTCCTGTTCAAGCTGCCGAGCTGCGCTGATTTGTTTACGCAGCTTAAACTGTTGTTTAATGAAATCCTCTGATTCCCTTTTGGCTTTCTTGGCCATGGCGGAGTGACTATTGCCAGAATCGTCATCTGAACCGGAATCACCAGCTGCATAGTCCTGGGCAGCACGTTTTTGGCCAGGGCGACCACCTTAAAAGCAACACATTTAATAAATCATGATTCAGAGAAAATAATTACTATTTACCTTCGTATAGATCTGAACAGTCAGTCTGCAGTGAAATGTGCGACTTGAAAGTGTCATCCATGCACAAGCGATGAAACATTTCCAGCGCCTTCTCCACTTTCTTGGGACGCTTGCAGACATCACATTGACCATTACAATTTGGGGTGGGATCTCCAAAAAAATCTGAGAAGAGTTTATGCCTGCAGGTTGTCCGTTCGCAGAACTCAGTGATCTTTTCAAACTGTTTTATAGCCCTCTCTGTGAGCAGCTCCTTATCGCCACGACCCCTGGCGCGATTTGCGTCGTTTTGGAGCAGGAATCTTATACTTTTGACATCTTCTCGGGCGTAATATAATCTACAATAGGACTGCAAACCGTCGCGGCCAGCGCGACCAGATTCCTGATAGTAGGCAGCCACATTTTGCGGAACATCCCAGTGGATAACGAATCGCACACTCGGCTTATCCACTCCCATGCCAAAGCTGTTGGTGGCGCATATAATCGGCTGATCGCCTCGCATCCAGGCTTCCTGGACCTCAGTGCGTTCGCCTGTTTTCAGGCCAGCATGGTAGGCCACTGCTCCGATTCCCTGTTTCGTAACTCCGATTGCCATGCGCTCCACTTGCTCGCGGGTTCGGCAATAGACAATTCCGCAACCTCTTTGCGGCTTGGGTTTCTCCTTGAACTCCTTGGGATCGCCCAAACAATGTTGGGCGAAGTCTGCCAAATGCTTGAAGTCGTCTTCAATGGAGTTCTTGTACACAATGTCGTAAAAGAGGTTCTTTCTGAAGCTGGGTGTGCTAAATTGCGCCACTGGCTGGTGAAGGCGCAACTGCTTGTATATATCCTCCTTGACTTCCCTCGAAGCTGTGGCTGTCAGGGCCAACCAGGTGATGTCTGGATATTTGGCACGCAACTCCCCCAGTTTCAGGTAATCCGGCCTAAAATCGTGACCCCATTGGCTAACACAATGGGCTTCGTCCACCGCAAAGTATGCAAGTTTTTTGTGTTTATGAAGCGTTTGTAACAGCTCCTGGAAAAACTTGGTAGCCGCCTGCTCCGGGGTAATGTATAGAAACTTTAGGTTTGTCTTGACGGCCCGCAGATCCATTATAACACGATCTCTTTCCTTGGTGGTCATCTTGGAGTTCAAGGAATCGGCTGGCACCTTTAACTTGGTCAAATGATCAATTTGATCCTTGATTAAAGCCAATAGGGGGAGAAAACAATGGTTATTTTGTTCTCGGACATCAAGCCGGGCAACTGGAAGCACAGGGATTTACCCGAGCCCGTGGGCATCGACACATACACATCCTGCTTTTCTGTAAGAGAATTACGAGAGGTATTATCTACGAGATTGGGTAAGAATTTGGCCCATATTCACTTTTGACAGCACACTTAACGGCATTTTCCTGAAGCTCCGATTTGAATTTCGAGTGGCCGAAGTGCTTTTTCAGCTCCTCATGCACAGCGCTTTCCCGCGTCATTCTTGAGCCGTTGTTTAAACTGCGTTTTATTTAAATAAACATTCTTCCCTTTCAGGCCAAAACTCGTTGCCGCCAAAACAGCTGGTCTAGAGGTGGGAAATGCGAGGCGGGCTATCGATAACGCGTCCCTACGGTGAAATTCAAGCAATGCACTCTGTTTTTTAAGTTTTATCAATACATGATTTTATTGTTTCTATCTAGAAGTCGACTTCCCTTACTATGTGTTTATTTCGCCGCCTTGGGCGTTTTCATTAATGGTTTTATTTTAATATTTTAAGAATAAATTCTTTAAAATATGTATATTTGCTTAGTTAGCAATAAGAACAAAAAAGTATCAAACATTCCAAAACTAAAATAAATTTGATTTTCAAAATTTTAAAATCCCGCTCTATAAATTCGAACTTCCATGGATAACAGTGGTTGGTGCACTCGCTAAAGTTGGAATCTGATTTTGTCACTACTACTTATTACTACTTATCTTTGGAGATGTGCATCGGATAGGTTAGAAATCTAAGCACAGAAAATATCGATATATCGACATTTATTGCGCAGTGCTGACAACTTACTTATATTCACGGCAAATTGGCTATTTTATTAATTAAAACTTAGAATTTTAATCGCAACTGAGCACATTAAGCTTTATTTCGGACATAAGGAATATGCCCGTTAAGATTATTTAATGAGAAGAAATCAAATTAAGAAATTTAGCTATTTCTGGCTATTTTTAATATTGGCGACTGAAACAGTGGCAACACTGTTTGCGAGACCGACGTTGTTGCAGCTCTAGAGAGACTCCTCAGTCAACATTTTTCGGCCGACTCGCGAGCACGCTCTGTGCTGTTTCCTCCTGCGTTTCGCGCTTTGCTTTCAATTGCCTTTCGTCGTGGTGCGTGTGTGTTGAGTGCCGGTGTGTGTGATTGCTGGCAGTGCGTGTGCCGCTATTTGTTAATAGTTAATAATCCCGATTAATACCATGTTGCACTTTAATTGCCTTTAAGCTCAAAATGCACACTGATAAACAAAAACGACAAAAATAATTTGAATCATAATAATGCCGGCAAACAAAGCGGAGTATTAGTGTGTGCTTGTGTTTGTGTGGGTGTCTGCGTTTGCCAAAATATTTACCGCAAAAAGAACAGACACAATCAAATCGAATTTAATCAGAGCCAAACAACAACAACAGCCGGCGAAATTAGCTCTCTCTTTCACAAAAGAAGAGTTATTAAAGTTTCAAAATGCAACATCAACAACAACAGCTTCTGCATTGCAGAAGAAAAGCAACAACAACTCCCGCCCGTCTTGTGATACTCAGCAGTCTTTTTCTTCTACTGCTCACCACCCACTTTCCACCCACCGTCCGAGCGGATGATGGCTCCACCCCCCAAGTGGCCGCCCTAGCCGCCCCCAATCCAGCGGGAGGCGTGGCAGGATCCTCAATCATCGACCAATTCAGCCCAAATTGCAGCGCCGTAACGCACATTTTCCAGGCGAGAGGTATTGACGCGATGGATATTCCCCAAAAACCAAGTAACGGTAAGTGCAATGTTATTAAATTAACATTTGAGCTGTAACATAGTGTCGCAATGAAGAGAAATTTAAACTTAAGGTTCAGTTTAACCATCTTAATCCACCTTAAATAACTTTTATGGCTACCTAAATGTTTGTCTTATTATATTGAAAATTAATTAATTTTTTGACTCCTTTATTTTAAAGACTTCTCTTCAAACATTCAAAAATCAATTAAACATATAACAATAAAAAGCATACCTCCATAAAACGGGGATATTTCATAACATTGCTAAATAGCAAGAGATAAGAAACAAGTCTGAATCACAAAGGAACAAAGAGTATTCGCGTTCAAATTGGGCGATTCCGTGATTCATTTTGCTCCTTTAAGGCGTCTTGAACACTCCTCCCGAACCCTCCTTTACCTCGAAGGAAATGAAATTCCACGCAAATCAACTCGAAATGCGAATAAGATAGGCTCTAAATAAGAGAGAGTCCGTCGCGGAGAGCGTGTCCATCCAAGAGATCTTGGCGCATGCGTCGCCTGCTCATCGTAACCCTCTTTGTTCCTCCCTCCCCCTTCGCCTGAAGGGGAAAAGGGTTCCAGTTTCCAAGACCAGTCCAAAAGGCAGAAGCAGCCGCAACGAAAAATCTCAAGAAATTCCTTTTTGATGAACAAAAAATAAAACCAGATGAGAGTGGCTTTACAGTGAAGCTTAGTTAATTTAAAAAGCTGCATTATTGCACCCAAAGAAAAATAAAATGCAGTATTTATAAAATTTGTGTAATATTTTATTTTTTACCAGTTTGGAAACTATGTTTCTAAAGTACTTTTGGGATTTAAAACGCAAAATTCGAATATTATATTTTTTATTTAGCATATCAAATTTGAGTTCATGGCGATCCAGAGAACTTGGACTGTAAAACCCACTGAAAGGCTCAATGGCTAGTGCAAGAGCAAAAATGTTGTCACACCACTTTTACACGCTGTTTGGGGGGAAAAAGGTGGAGGGGTTCAAGGAGGACCTAGTCTCGACCTCGATCGCCTGTGGGTTTTAGTTAATTTGTATAAATCCTGAATTAATCACGCTTAATTGCAATAAGTTGTGCAGCGATCTCTGTTCCTCTTCGTGGCTGCCTCTCTCTTTGTTTGATTTGTTGCCAGGTAAACTGTTGCAGCCTCTGCCCTTTTGCCCCCCCTGCCCTTCCTTTGGCCCTTTACCTGCGCCCTGCCTTTGTTTATTTTTGGTTTTCAACGTTGCCTGATTGGTTTTTTTTCCCTCCTATATGTTTTCCTTATTCTTTATCTTTTGGTCAAATGCATTGCGCGTTGCGTTTCGTTCATAATTTCATGGAAATGTTGGTGGGGGAGGGGGCGCCGAGGGGGCGGGGTGGCCAACAGGTAGAGTGGTCAGTTCTCGAGTTCCCTTTTGTGTTGTCTTTGATATTAATCAAGGTGTCATTGAAATCGTTTAAATTATGCAGTTCAGGATTTTTATTCTCTGTCGGCATTTTTATGTGAACCTTTTACTTCCCGATCGAGTATTCCCCCGCCCTCGACTCTCAGTTTTGATAACACTCGAAATAAAAATTTAAATGTTTGAATTTGATTTGAAAAATGTTTAATTTTGAAAAAAAAAAATATAAAAGTTGTTTTATATAAATTTGTTTGTTGCTTTTAGTATTAAAATCAAAGTGTTTATATTAACATTTATAATTTCAAGCTTTTTAAAAAATTATTTAACGAATAAAAAAAGTATCCAGAAGCTACTTATATTTATAATATATTTTTAAATATTGTTTTTTTGAGTGCACAGCTTCTTTTCCACCTTTCGCCGTGTGAGTCATAAATTCTTATGTTTGGCCCTCTCTTCTTGTTCGCTTCTCCTCATTCCCAATTCCATTCCCTTTCCATTCACCTGATCCCCGCCCCTCGCACCTTCTCCGCCTGATAAGCGCCAGCATTTAGATAAAGATTCCGACCTGTTCCCAGGCATTCTCGAATTGCTTAACTGAGAACTATTTTTCCGATAGGTGTTTTACAGGGCTTTTTGGCTTGAGTTCCGTGGTTATGTAGGCTAGCTAACTGGTGAAGCTGTGTGGCTGATATAACCCAACTTCCATTTCCGATAAGTGATACCAAAAAAACTTTGACGTAAGATAATGGAGTGGGAATGAGTTTGACGAAACTCAGACTTTTTGGGGCCATCATATTGTCTTAGGGAAGTTATGAGAAAAGTTTTATTTGAGAATAATAATAGTGTTTTTGAATAAAAAAAAAGGACGTTACCTTTTATTAATAAAAATTATATCATTTAAAATTAGCCGAAAATATTTTTAAAGCATTTTTTCATGAAAGAAATATGCAAATCAAAATTCCTGAACTTAACATCCGTTATTAATTTAGCAACCGGAAATTTCTCGCACATAAACGAAGTGAAATTTCGATCAGTCACGTACAAGTGTTTTTGGCAAATTTCCCACCACTCTCATCTTCACACTTTAGGCGCATTCCTTTCATTGAACCGTGAATAGCAGCAAACATTAAGCAACAACAACAACTGCATGACACCTTCCGTGCTGCACTAACAACAACAACAACAACGACTGCCACTTAAACGCTTCATTTAAGTTGCACTTCCTGTGCCACATCAAAAAGCTGTGCGAACCCACTTTAGTCCCCCTTAACCATCGTCCTCGGCTCACCATCATCATCATTGGTAGGCAGGCACTTAGCTGAAATTGTTTGCACAATTTAAACAGTTCACAAAACATTAAATCGTTAAAAATAATACCAGAGAAGCGGCAAAGAGAGACTCGATGAAAAAGGAAGATGGGATTCATTTGATCGCAGGTTGAAATGCCCTTACATATTTCGACTAAATAAGAGATTTGATTTTTTTTATATACTAAATTTACATTCAAATCAATTTGTTTAATTAATTGAAAAAAATAATGAGTGTTTAAATCTTCTAAAGTAGATTACTGCATTTAATCTTTTAATAAAGTTTATCACATCTTTTTTAATTGCTTACATTATTATTAAGAATTTCCGTTCTATTTTTAAATTGGGAAATAATGAGTATTTTAATTTCGGTGCAAGGTTGATCCACTTTGTTGGCGTCTCCACTGGCGGCACTGCATCCGCCGACTGCCCCCGAACGCCCCTCATCCCACCCGCTCCAAGGCAACCACCGCATGACTATTAATCATTTTCCAGCAACCAAAACTAAATGGCCCCGTCTCGTTCTCTCCTTCTGTTGCCCCATCTCTTTCCCACTGTTGGCCCTTTTTTTGCATTGTCGCATTCCTGGGCCGTGTAAAAAGAAGAAACGAAGCGAGCGGTTTATATGGCACTATATCATCATCATCTTCATCGGCGTCGTCGGCGTGTGATCATGTGATATATACTTCTGCAATTGTTGACCATTGTATGGAGGATTGGGTTTGGGTTTCGATTGGAATGCAGATTAGATGGGGCAGGGGGTTATAAACGAGTAGGAGTTGCTGTCGGGAGTTTGTTTATGAGGTCACAAAGGGGATATAAGTGGTTATAAGGGCTAAGCGAATATAGGAATAAACAGGTCGTAAGTTTTCAATTCAGTGATGAAATTTTATGATGGTATAATATTGGTATATTTACAGCTTAAAGCAAAATTATGAGCACTATAGTTTTATTAAGTTAAAATTAATAGAAAAAGCTTAAGCATCACTGATAACCCACTAAACTAAATCACCTAACATATGGGTTAACATCAAGTTTCCCCAGAGGCTCCACTTGAAAACCGCGATCATGATCGATAGCAAACTCTTTCACGCCATCTCGCCTTTAATACGCCATAACAATTACTCAGTTCCTTGGGGCTACTTTTACCCATTGAGATCATAGCCTTGCGATCTCGAAACCAGCTGTGCTATCTGATCCATTGATCGGCACTGGAATCCCAGACATTTCGCCTACAAAGTCAACACTTGCCGAGATTTCTCGCACTAAAGATCGGAGATCTGGGCAATTTCGCGTAATTAGCTGACGATGCTGACAGAAATGGGATCTCCCAGGCAGCCAGCCGCTGCTGCTGCTTTTGCTGTGACAAACAAAAGCCGAATCGTCAGCCAATTTTCTAAGAATGAATCCTTCGGATCGCGGATGATTCAAGTTGGATTCGAGTAAGGGATAAAACGAAAACGAAACCGGGGCAAAAATGAACGATCGCGGCCGTGGATCCGATCCGATCCAACGACTTAATTGCCGGCAAGTGTCGGAGGAGGATACCAAAAATAGGTAGAGACGACGAGAATCCCAGACTCTTGGCCAGACTTCCCAGCATTTCCAGTCATCTCGAGCAGGTCAAACGTGGCCACTTTATGGAGCGAGATAACATTTTGCCTGTGTGGTCTCACCTCACTTGCCGTCCCTTTCCCCTCGCGCTGTCTATCTCTTTCTTTGTTCGAAACTCCTTAAACAAGTTCTCGGTGCATTCCGAGTCCATTTCGTGCCTTCATTCCATCGGAACAGTTGAAGCAATGACTTTCATATATGGCCAACGTTGGAATACCTTTTTCGGGAGTGCAGCCAAAGAAAGAAAGAGAGGCCTTAACAGGGCTGAAAAGAGATGGGTAGACTTGGCATTTTGTTGTTAATTTATTTTTGTGGTTTCTCGGGACCAACTTTACCCCAACACCTCCGTGTAAAGATCGAGAAAATGCCTTTCAAGGATATTCCTCGAGCCAAAATGCATTTCGTAAATGTGGTTACACATTCTCACGGTCTGGTTTTCCTTTTTTGTGCCAGGATTGCATTCTCATTTAAATTCTTTAAATTAGCATGTTAAAAATTATTATAAAACAGAGAAACAACATTTTGTATTGATATATATTTAGTCAATGGTAGTTAATAAATCTTGTTACGCTTTCTCACGCTCTGAATTTATTTTTTGGAGCAAAGATTACGCAGTAGATGGTTGGGTAATTACACAACTAAAAGCCCAACCACGCCCCTTAAATGGTAGCGCCGAATAACAATTACA